TACGCGTATATATCTTCACGGATGCGGCGGGCGACGTCCTGAGTGCAAACATGGGAGCGGAATCCGACCATGGTGGGAGAAAGGTGGTTGTGAGCGTCGAGGTGCCACTCCAGCCGAGTAAGCGCCATCTTCTCCAATAGTTTTCCCAAACAGGAGGTCATGGAGATGGGGCGGAGGTTACTGATGGTGGTTGGGGGTTTACCAGGTTTCGGGATGACTAGGACGTTGGCAGTTTTCCACGACGCAGGGATGTTTCCAGAGCGCCATACCTCATTAAGAATCTCTAGCAGTTCAAGTAGCTTTATGTCAGGAAGATTTCGGAGGATTCCGTACGTGATTTTGTCAGGTCCAGGAGACGTGGTACGCGTAAAAGAACGAAGGGCTGTAAAGAGCTCCTCGAACGTGAAGTCCGAATTGATACCCTCTGCCTCAGGCTCGGGTGGTGACTGAGGATAGTAAAGGTTCTGAGGCTAGATTCATAAAAAACCTCTTACCTACGACAACTTAGCTACGAAGTTCGTAAAGTTACGATCATCGTAAGATGAGGCGAGAACGGTATTCACAAACGCGTTCTTAAGTGAGAGGAGGAAAGTTACGATCTCTTACGGAGAAACGATGACTTCCGGTGCTGTTGCTATGGCAACGGCGTCTTCGGCAAAACGAACAACCAATTAGAGAGCTAGGCATAGTTCGGAGCACGTGGATTTTTAACAACAAACGCAGGCTAACCACTCGTTCATAGACAGCTCCGTGTATGTCCTGTCCTGTCTGTGTGTAAATGTATTCTCATAAACACGGGCGACCTTTCCACCACCGCATGTCTGGGGTTCGTGTCCGTGCCAGTCGTTTGCAAAGCGACGTAGAAGGATACAAACCGCCACGGCGTTTCTCGCGGGCTCGGAAATGCAGGAGTGAGCCGACGTTAAAAAAAATACGTTTGAACTACGAGAGTGTCAGCAAGAGTCACGCAAATACCTGTTCACACTCGGAGCGGACGCGTGCGTTTGATCGAAGTGCTGGATTCAGACTGCGTTTCGGTAAGCGCTTCGGGACCGATCTTCTACGATTGCAACTCGATACTGACGTGACACTCGGCAAAGAAAGGTTGGACCGGCATCGCGTAGCTCCCACAAACTGATACAGCTCGACAGTTAAAAATGGCATACTAATAACAAAGTGTACATACCGTGTTGCGAAGGTAATCCATACGGCGTTTATTTGAGCTCTATATCACACAAACCAAGGAGATATATCGAGGAGTCCCTTTTCGACGACAGCGTTCGTCACCGCTGCCTCGGAAAACAAGGTGATCGAGATGATAAGGGGAATCGGTTGACCTCTGAAATTTAGTTCAGCTATCAAACTATTCATACGGGGAGGGTCCACAAGGGTCGCGCGGGCATATTCCATTCAGCAAGCCAGCCGGTCGTGGGCAGACGGTCTTGGCCAAGGGCCGTCTGAGCAATGCTGCGCCGGAACGGGTCGGAGTGCCTGCTAGGCCTATATATTCTGCCGAGCTCGCTTGGTCGGTGGGATCGTCGCCTTTGTTGCCTTTTCCGGGTGTCTGGATCCAGCGTTCATGTTCGTCGTGGTCGGTTTCAAGTACTTCTTCATTTTTTTCTTGCTGCTTGAAGTCGGGACGCGCAAGAAGAGCAGGTAGAAAAATAAATGTCCGTTGGGTCGTCGCGACCGAGCAACTGAGCGACGTTGTCGGCCATGTTAATTTGATCGTAGAAAGTGCGTAAGACAGCTTCGGAGCTGTCGTAGGATTTTGTCGTAACCTGCGCAAAAGTTACGACAATTTCGTTTCGAGAATACGGATTTTCTCTCAAATTTGTCGTACGCATTTTTTTCGTCGTAAGTTCGCTTTGAGAATCTGGCCTCTGAATGCTTTGTAGAGAGTGCGGATAGAAAACATCTCTGATTTGGTTGGTGAGTTCCGATGACGACGCGTCTAATGCCAGTTGCAGTTTCTGTAAAGTGTTACGGGGTCGGTTCTGGCCGAGCAGGGTGCGCATGATCTGCCACACTCTAGGAGTGTGAAGGTGATCATTCATATTATCGCATGTCTTGAGCCATGTGTCCGTGGCTAGTTGGTCTGCATACTCTTGAGCTTCGTAGGTAAGGCATGCGATCTTCTCTTGGAGGGTGGTGCTGGATTTGTTCTTCTTCCAAGCCTTAACGACTCTGCGGCGTTTGCTCCAAATGTTGAGGAGGTGGGTGTCAATATAAGGGTGCTCTTCAGTGCGCTTAACATGGCGCGTGTATTTCGCCACGGTGTTCATGATGTTGGCGCACCATGCTGTTGGATCAGGGTTAGACGCGGGAAGGTCTTCAATCGCCTCTCTGGCTTTCGGCCAGTCTACAATTTGCGATATGGGGCTTCGTGAGTGCCGTTACCGGGTGCCGTGTTTGGGAGTTAGGGTGATCTGTATGATATGGTGGTCACTACCTAGGTTCTCGTCAGTGTTATCCCAACTTGCACTCATGTCGCTGCGTATCCATGTAAGGTCTGGGGTTGTATCGTTTTCTCGGGCTGTGCCCTGGCGTGTCGGAGTGGACGTATCGTTCAGGAGGGTAAGGTGGTGAAGGCCTGCGAACGCGTCCAGTTTCCTGCCGAGTGCGGAGGTCCTGTCGTATCCCCAATTGGGGTGCGGACAGTTGAAGTCTCCCAGGAGGAGGAGAGTCGATGGTGCCTTGGCTGCTACAACAGGGGTCTGGAGAGGTGGGAGGGGGGAGTCGTGACCACGTGGGGTCCAGTAGGCATTGATGATGGAGACCTTTTGTCCGTGGTAAGTGGAGTGGGTGATTACGTGCTCCTTGGTGGGGGAGTTGAGGGGCCCGGAATCATCCTGGATGGTTGGAATTTGTTTGCGCACGTATGTGACCGTCATCGCTTGGGGGGGAGGGGGTGTTTGGTGTCCTTTGTGTCTAGGGACGATGCTGGGTTGTATAAAACTGTCGTAGCCGGGAAGGGGAAAGTTGCCGTTGGTCTCTTGGAGGGCAATGATATCCGGCTGCGTCCCTGCGTGAAGCATATACTGCAGGAGGGTGTTCTTTTTCCGTTTGAGGCTGCGACAGTTCCATTGCCATATGACGAGGGAAGTTTGGGTTGGTGTAGGGTGATGAAGGGCGTCAGGCATTTTGGGCCTCCGGGGTTTCTTCCATGGGGTTTATTTGGTGGTGGGCAGCACGTTTCCGGGGGTGCTCCTCTAGGGTGGTGAGGTATTGTTCGAGTTTGTCAATGCGGTCGGCTAGTCGTTGGACGGCTTGCATAATGGGGGCGAGGGCTTGTTGGATCATTTCGATGATGTCGCATTGGGAGGGGGGAGACGGAGTTGGTGGTAGGAGGGTTTGGGAATAAGTTGGGTGAAATGTGGGGCTACGGGCTTGAGGAGGGAGAGGGGCAGAAGCTGCGTGGTTCCCTTGCGGTGCCAGTGGGGTTGGGGTTGATGTCTTCGAGGGTCGCGACGTTCGGTCGGCCTTGGGAGTGTTGGAGTCCTTCTGCTTGTCCGGCTTTGGTGTTCGGTCCCGGTGTCGTGCGGTGTCGTGCGGTGGTTCGGTCTTGGTGTCGTGCGGTGGGCGACTCAGGCTGCGACTTTGGCTCCGCGGTGCCTGGAGGATGTCAAAGCGGTTCGTGGTAGGCAGGGCTGGCCAGCTCTGCAAATCCTGTGATGGCGGGGCGACCGCTCGAAAGCGGTGTCTTTTGTGAATGCGTTGCCACTTCTGAGCATCCTCGTCCGCCTTCGCCCTAGCCGGGCACGCAGAGGAGGACGGCGGGTGTTCCCCGTTGCAGTTGAAGCAGTGCGGGTCGCAGTCATGTGGTGTGTTCAAGGGGTCGTGGTTATAGGGGAAGACCTTGCTGCAGATGGGACATCTTGTGAAGGAGGTCTTGTTGGGGCACACGTCGGCGCGGTGGCCAATGCCGTGGCACAACGTACATTGTTTACTTCTCGCTCGTTGAGGATAGATCGGGTAGGCTCCACAGCGAATGAATGCGTAACGGGGAAGGCGCGGCCCTTCAACGGTGAGGAGAATGGTGTTCGTGCGGCCGAGGCGGCGGATACCGAGCAGTTTGGCGTTCTCAACACGAACGTGCTGCGAGAGGTATTCGTCAGTGATTTCGGCGGTGATACCATGTATTACCCCGCGGGCATTCAGAGGATCGTTTGCTACGTAGGAGTTGGTTTCATGTGACTCACCGTCGATGGTGACGTTCGTGAGTTGCAGAAGTTTCTGGTGGGCCGTCGGGCGAAACGTATCAATAGCCAAGAGATTTTGCGGTGCGCGGAGCCTAATGTAGGTGTCTTCTTGTTCGAGTTTAGTCAGTCTCGCTCCGTCCAGAATGGCGGCGCAGAGGGACGTGAAGCGAAGGGTGGTGATGTTTACGTGGTTTGCGAGTTTCATTATAATTGTTGTGCTTCTGGGTTGCTTGGGCGCGGGTGAGGTAAATTGGCATGAGAGAGGTGCCGCCCCAGCGGGCTGGACGGGCGAGCTTTCCGACAATGTGTCGACAAGCATGGCGGTGAGGCGGTAGGCGGCCGGAACCGCGGCGCCGGTGTTAGGCTTAGTGAGGCCCGCCCCACAGGGGCGGCCTGTTTTTGCTCACTCGGTGATGGAGACGAGCCGTGGGTCTAGGATTAGGTTGACCAGGGTATGGAAGATGTTTGCGTACCTGTGTGGCGAGCTTCGTGGCCCTCGGAGTCGAGGAGCAGAAGAATAAAATGTTTAAAGCTGGAGCTCGGAAAGAACACGCCTCTGTCCTTCGAGCTTCTTCGTCTTTTTTTCTTACGAGAGATGCCGAATTATTCTCGAATTACGAAGCTCCCGCTGGAGGCCAGATCACTCACACATCCATGTCGTTCTTCTTCGGTCAGTAACTCTATAGGCTTCTTTAGCTGGTTACTTCTATTCCCAGCCTCCGAATGTCAAAACATTCCGGAATGAGCACTTTATGCGTGTGACGCAATATCAGTATCCTCCAAAACTTTCTATTTCAGGGTGAGGTGAGTGTGCAAACAACCAAAACGTGGCGAGAATTCGCATTAACAGCCAAACAGTTCGACTACAAGTCATTCAAAAATGTGACCCTCCGACGCATTCTTCGTCCGATGAGCGACCTCGGCTCTGCAGTCCTCGACGATGCAGAACTGAACCAGGTATACAACTTATCGTCGACGTCTAAAATAACCATACGAAAACTTTCTGCTATTATTAAACAATGTTTATTACAAGATTACTGCAACGGAAACCCTACTAGCCCAAGAGTTAATCTGACTGTTTTCTTGTATTAGTTCTGTATAATGTTGCTCCTCTTTGTTTCTTACTTGCGGTAGGGTGCCTGTTTCGCGTCTCCGACTGCTGTGTTTAGCGTTCTATTCCGCCCGTGCATGAAAAGTGATTTCGATGTGGCAGCAAATCACGTCACAGAAGCCGGGCTGTCATGTTGTCGGATGTCGATATTCTGGATGTTGGCACTAGAGTTACCGACAAAAAGTGCGAGCGAACGCAAGTGTTGCTCTCGTCGGGGCGTCCCAACTCCAAGCTGCTGATGCTTCCGTGGTCTGCCCAGTAGGAGAGAGACCTGTAGTAGGAGAGGCGTCTGCCACATATACCACCCCTGATGAGACACCGCCAAAATCGCGGCTGGCTACACCATAACGCTTCTATGACGCGATCAGGCATAAATCGAGGGAGCAGTTTTGAACTCCAGGTGAACATACCAGTTGAAGACGGGCCGCAGGCACAATACTCGCGGTAACTGGTATATTCAAGAATCAAACCCAAAAGCACGTGATTAAGAAACAAAAATGTCTATGACAAGTGAAACAAGCTACTAGGTATTTTGCAACGCTTGAACAATGACGCTATTATATCGGCTTCTGAGTTAAATACCGCGAGTAATATCTCCGTATTTAAACATAATTAAGGTCGGGGTTCATCTGTCATGATCAATACGTCGGTGTTAGTTTTATTTATGACTGATATGTCCGTGTGTCTTCTTGTCTGCTTCTGTAAAGATCGCGTAAATCGGCAAACAGAAGCATAGTCTTCCGTCCACCAAGACGTTTCTCAAGAAGACAAGAGGCTAATTTACGAGTCATTACGTTATATCTAACTTATTATTAAATAATATTCACCATCCTTTCAGTTCTATCAAAACTAAACTAAAAATTCATTTAACAGCGGGATATTTACCCGTCGATTTGGTTCATAAATTAGTGTTGTTGGTTTCTTCTATATTAAAATGATAAGGACTCAACACCTTTTTTTTTTTTTAAATGGTGAGATAAAAATTTTTTCGTTAAATTAATGCTTCAAGGACGTTGTTACTTTTGTACTGCCCCTGTATTGCTAAATTATAACATGCTAATAACCCCGTTATATTGTTCCATAACGCCTGCAAAATCATGCAACTGATAGAGTGAAATATTTTTTATAGTAGTAGCAAAATATTTAAACAAAATCCCACATATCAAAATAGGGTGCGCCTTATTTCATCCTTGAGACGAGAAAAAATAACTTATACGAAACAGCTTTGGAAACGATTTTTTTGCTATCCAATACTAATCAAATTGAATCACGGCCGTTCATAGCCAACAAAGCTGGCCTATGTAGTTTTTGTTCTATGCGTTCAGCACCGTTCCAAGGTTTAAAAAGTTACGAACTCACAGCCCACTGCGCAATCTTCACAGCCCAGGGAAGGCATGATTGTCGTTTTGAGCAAAGCGCCATGCAAGAATGTTAAAATTGACACCAGCCAGGAGCCAACCCGAATCTACAAAGTAGAATGCTTGCGCTACACGAGTGCGTGCTTTTGGCCAGGATATTAAAAGCCGCAGCTTACTCTTATAGCTTGTTAAAAAGTGTTCGTCTTAACTGGCATGCAGAACAGAGGGTCTTGCAATAGAAGAATAGAAACAAAGGGTTTTTTTGTTGCTTTTTTTTCGTCTGCATGTCTTACCTCTGATTTTCGGAATCGTACAGATTATTAATAGTTCGTCCTTTCAATTTAATAGCTAAATTTATTTTTAGAGAGATAATAAGCTCGGAAGCAACACCTATTACCTATTAAAGGCTGAACTTTATTAAAATACATTTATTTTAAGATGGAGAATCTCAGTTCGACCATGTCACGGGTGTACAGCTCATCCCTGGTTACAGTTGGTGGAAAGCAGAATCTATCTCTGACTCCAAGTAAGCACCAATACACCAGGAAACCTTTGGGGTGGTTTCTTTCGGCACAGTTGAGCATTTTTTTAATAAAGGTGACCACTCGCCTAATATTTCTAGCGCAAAAATAAGCTGAAAATATGTTTAAATATGCCAATTGCTAAAAACGTAAGTGCAGTAAAGTGAAGACTGCAGATATATTGCCCGTGCAATAACGTAAATTGCTATTAATATAAAGCTAATAAAATATAAATAAATAAGGTATGTCTGCTGATTTATGCAGAAATAGATCTTGCAATTCGAAGCGTTAAAATTTGAACGCACACCCGTGTCAAGATCCACGCTCACATGCAGTGTTTTACGTGGACTCAGACTGTAATTATTGGGTCCTACTTGAGCCACAAAGAGATCAAAGTGACACCGACAAGCCTCAATCGCGTGAAACTACCTTTGACAAGCTTGCAATCTCCCGGTGCTCGTGGAATAAGCCCGAGCGATCCCAAGCCTGCCAAAGGCTTGGGATCGCATGCCGCGCGTGCTTGAAACTTGCCGGTTTCGGTTGTTTCTGTTTGTCGCTCGCTGTCCGACGGTAGAAAATACAATAGGGGCCGCCGTCCGAGAAGTTGCGCGCCGCCGCCGTGGCTTCAGGGTGGGGGCGCTACCTTTGTTGGGGTAGGACTGAGCCGTATATGTAAAAAGTTTGGCCATTCATTGCGAAGTATAGGAGACAAATCAGGAGGCGCCATTGGTCGAAAGCGGGCTGCGCCAGGGGGTCTTCACAAATTCGAACGTGGATAACCAGAAGCCGGAAATAATAACCTGGCGGTGGTCGCGGGAAACAAACTTAATAAGTGCATCGGAGTAACTCTCGGTAATTTAAGATATGGTGCGCGTGATGTTTGAATCACGGTCATCCAAAATCATGGTGGAAGAGTGCGACTAGCAGAACAATCAACATAATCCGTACGCCAAGCGCCGAGGGACGCGAAACTGCCGTCCGAGCGGTCACACTCTGTCTGAGAAAAACAGAGTTGAGCGGCCAGATTCGTCCCTTAGTTCTTTCTGCGTGATCATGATCGAAACATCACGTGCACCCTAGTTTCAATCATAAAGGCTTACTACATTTAACTCTTACGCGCTTATTAAAACCATATACCTATGATTAAAACTGCTTCTCGCTACCACCGCTAGGAGATTCTTTTCGGCATCTGGTTGGCCTAGAGAGCCTGTAAAGCCCTGTTTCTGCGTCTGGCGCACGCCCTGTCTTTGCTTGTCTTTGACCAAAGTCTCTCTTTACATGGCTTTGGGGACGGAGCCGTATATAGAATGTGTGTGGTCATTTATTGGGAAGTATAGAAAGTAAATGAGGAAGCGCCATCGGCCGAAAGTGGGCTGGGCATGTTCCAGGATGTCTTCACAAATTCGAATGCCGCCACCCAGAAGCCGCGAATACCCTGGTGGTGGTCGGGTTAAACAAAATTAATAAGTGCGTAGGAGTAACCCTAGGTGACTGTAAATTGGGTGCACGTGATGTTTCAATCACGGTCATACAAAATCATGGTTAAAGATCTAAAAACATTTAGAAGACCTGAAAAGAGTGCGCGACTCGCAGAACGATCGACGTAATTCGTACGCCAGGCGCTGAGGGCCGGGCATATCCCGTCCTAACGCTCAGACTCCGTCCGAGCAAACGAGAGTCCGAGCGGCACATTCGCGCTTCTTGCATATTTTGCATGATCATGATCGAAACATGGCCCGCACCATATTTTCAACCACGAAAAATTACTACATTGCACTCTTACGCCCTTCTTTAAACTGTACCTCGCTACCACCGCTAGGAGATTATTTTCGGGTTATGGTTGGTCAAGAGAGGGTGTCTAGCACTCAATATGCGTCTGATACACCTCCTCGCTATGCCCGCCCCTCCCATTGACCAAACGTAGAGAGCCTAGATTGAAGAGAAGGTCAATGGTGGACACCTCCTGCGGTGATCCGTCGCAAGTGCGCATCCTGTGCGTTTTCGCGATGCGAGGAGGAAATCAGGAGGAAAGTTGGAGACGTTTGCAGACGATCAACTCTTTCGTCACCTCATCGCAGCTCGTATTGCAAACGCGGCCCATAAACCACGTGACTACAATCGGGCAGTTGGATACTCTCTGTAATACAGGCTCTCGGGAGGCTAACGGTGGTGCCATGCTCGCGACGCGTGCTGTACTCGTCCCCTAGAGAGCTTCTATTATAGAGTGTTCCGAACTGCTCTCTCGGGGTCACGTGGTTTATGTGCCGGATTCGCAATACGAGCTGCGAGGAACTGACGAAAGAGTTGATCGTCTTCGAACGCTTCCGTTTCTTCGTCTGCCTTTCTCCTCGTCACTCGAAAACGCAACGCAAGTGCACCTGCGACCAACTGCGCAGGAGTCGTCCGCCATTAAATTGTAAACGCTTCCAACGGTTTAAGATGGACCCTTTCTTGATCACCTTTCTATAGCCTCCCAACGTAGGCAGGGTCGTCTGGCGGTGCACATGGGCGTTAGATGAGGAGGAGGACTTAGTAAACACGACAGCCTCGGATAGCGCATCCCGCATGCATAGAGTATACAGGAGGCATATTGCTCTGGCATAACCGAGGTTATTCGTGTTTGTTTCTTTGCTTTTTATTTGAGAAGCTAGTTTTTATAAGTAAGTTTCTTCCTTTCATTTCAGATCTCACAGCTATAATGGCAAAAGTTGGAAACTACACTGAGCTCCAGGAGGCTTGGACAGCATGGCACGACACCGTGGGTCGCAAGGAGAGAGAATTGTATATCCCGTTCGTCCAACTCCTGAACAAGACCGCCACACTCAATGGTACCCTGATATTGGGACCTCTTTCCAAATTGTTCAAAATTGTCAAACAGCTAAACATGAGCTTTGCACTCCTACATCCATTTTACATACTCTGCACACACTGTTTTCAACCGTATCTGCAACACTCACTATGTTCGCACACTGCCGTGTGCAAACACATAAGGAACAGAGGCAAGATTCGCCAAACGATCTTACGCAAAAATGTGCGTACGACACAACGTAAGAACAAATTGGTATTCACGAATGGACAAGATTCAAAGAAAGAAATATGCTGGTGTCCTGGAACCGAGCTTCACAGTTCGTACAGAGGCGTTTATGCACAACAATTGGATGAAAAGAGTCGCTTAAAGCACGGGAAACCTCCAGGACGTGCTCTTGTAGGCGAGTGTTCAGACAACGCCCTGTCTGACCAATGTATCGGTCACGCCATAAAAAAGGTATGGAGTATACACGAACTCAACTCTGTTACGTCACGCCGCGATGGTGGCGCGTCCGGCGCAGTTCCGGTCTGGGGCGGTGGGCGGATGTCACCGTATGAGACATGCATTTCTGTGTTCTTTTCGAAGAAACCAGACAAAAAAATCTGCCTTCTCGTCAAAACACCGCGACGGTGGCTGTACCAAAAGGGTCGGGAAAGGTTTGATGGTCAGTTTTCGTGTGTGTTCTGCCTGCTCAGTTCGTCCGAGAACGTGGATAGGATCAGTGAAAAGGGCAAACTAGACTCTGTCGAACTACAATTGCTTCTGCAGGCAACACTTTGGGTTGAATTCACAAATACATGTGGTCGCCGGATGTATTTGTTTTGTTCCAACATGAACAAGGGAAAACCGCTAAGTTGTCAAGACCAGGGTTGGGCAGTATCGCGATACAAATCTATTGCGAGAGTATTTCAGAAATGCATTTCGTATCTCTATTTCTGGATCGCGATAGATGTTTTTCACCAGTATCTATATTCCTGTATCGAAATACATTTTTTTCACCAGTATCTATATTCCTGTATCGAAATACATTTGGAATGTTTCTTTGTATCGCGATACAATCAGGGTGAAATGTATTTCGTTACATTTCTTGAGGAATACTCCCCCCCCCCCCCCCCCCCCCACCAAAAAAAAAAAAAAAAGCCGAACGCATTTTATTTTTGTTTTTTTACTTTTGAGAGCACCAGGGTCAAGGAGATGCTGGGTCATTGTTACCATGCTGACCAAGGTTCCTTCCGATTCTCAAAACTAGTTTTCTATGCGTCCTTCTCTCTCTTCTGAGAAGCGTTGCGTAGTCTAGGACTCGAACCAGGTGGCGTGCCAGGAGTGGAGTCAGAGCATCTTGTGCCGCAGGTCCGTAGGTAGGGGTTTCCTGAGTCATAGTTTGTCACAGGTTTGCTTGCGTTATAGGTAAATATAATCCCAATTTGATCCTCGACAAACAAAATTTATGATTTGAAAGGACCGTGCTGACCGAGCAATAGGTCCACGCTCCGGTGGAAGGACTCGTAAAATGAAGAGAGGCGGAGACGGCTATGAATAATACGCCAGTTTAATTTCACAAATCAGAAGAGAAACGTTAAGGAAAACGCTCGAATACAGTACAGACAGCTTACAGAATTAACGCCGACACCACTAGCAGTGTGTACAAATTAAGTCTACCATTTAAATACTTTGGAAACAGTAACTTGAAGTAATACTACGGCTTAGAAGAGTCCAAACGTAAATTAGGAGAGTCTAGTCAAGTCTCAGCTTTTGGTGTTGGAGATGACGTCCCTCTGCGCAGTCCGTCCGAGCTGGAGAGGTCCGGGGTGGTCACTTGGCTCACGACACTAAAGCACACCGCTGGGCCCTCCTCCCGTCGACGGCGTGGGGCTGTCGACAGTGGTCTCGTCAAACACGACCGTTCACCTTTGAGGCCGCTTGCCATTTTTGAATTTCCGTCACGGTTTTTCGTCACACGCCTCTGGGAACCTTTCCCTTCCCCCGACAAATCAATGCCCCCTTTGCAGCACTCAACATTCCAAACTCCAAGAACACCATAACAGCAAAAACAAACTGTGACACAGCGTAGCAGAAACAAAGTTCGCCTCGTTCTTAGGACGAAAGAGAAGAAACACAGTTCTCGGAACAAAAATTGCTCGAGGCTTCCAAGAACCATGCCCATATATCTTTCAACAGGCGTCGAGTCGCAACTCGAAGTCTGCGCCAGCGGTGCCTGTGCAGCATGTATGTCAACACTTAATATTAAGAAAGCAAAACACAAACACAAAACACAACCCTGGGCCGAACACACACATGAAGTCCATTACCGGACGCTTCGGCCGACCGGGACCGCCACCACGTAACTCGATACCACCCCAAGCACCGCCTCGGGCGTCGACGGGGCGGGGGGCCACGGGGAGTCGTTAATGCCAGTCGAACATTCGTCCGCAATTCGCAAACGCTCTAGCCGTCTTTCTGTGACACTTAGCGTACACAGTACACCCAGCCAGTAAAGCTGAGTCACAGTCCGTTGCAGCACGAGCTTGGCGGTGGTTGACCTGAAATAGTAGGATGACTCATGCAGTGAAGTTCAACATATATTCGAAGGCGTCCGAGGCTGCGGCCGTAATATTTCACGGCTCAAAGTTACGTCATCAGCCGACGTGGAAGTTACCCGCTGCTCTGGTGATCCGAAACCCAAGAAAGAGGTCAGACGTAGCCTCGCTCTGCCGACTCAGAGTTCGTACACCTGCGACTCGTCTCGACTCTCGAGCGCGCTGTTTCTCGGAGAGCTCGCACCTGTTCCGGCAATATCAGGTCGCAATCCACGAGGTCTTTATTTAAAGTATGCAAGGCGAAACTTGAGGACTGCAATCCATGGGTCGGTGGCGGATGGTCGGCAGAAAGGACCTTCACAACCGGGATGCTACCGTATCGTTTTTTTTAACCGTAACAGAAGACATATGTTCCAGGATGCATCAGGTGGTCCACTATTCTCGAAAATTCCAAATGGCACTGCCTGCATGATCTTCAACGAGGTAACCTACAACGAAAGTCCGTATTGTCCTTTCATACAGCAGCGCGGTAAAGTTTCAAGTTCAAAGCAACACCTACAGATGAAAAATACCAGTTCATTCGACCGTGACGTCATGTGATGGCAGGCGCGTCCTTATTGGACAAAGGCGTGATGACGTTTTGATTCGATTTAGGATGACATAGAATTTATTTACAGGTCGAAGTCTTTTCGCATCCCTCGTCAGACAGACAGCATGTCAGGGAAGGGACCGCGGTCAGTCCTTGATGGAACGTTTTCTTGAGCCCATTGAAGATTCCTCGTCGTCTGAAATCACTACCTTCAAGGCAAAGTGCCAAGCCTACGGGAAAGTAATTCCAGTATCAAAAACTTCCACCTTCAAGCTTCATATCATTTGGCGCCTCTAACAAATTTGAAAATTGTATTGCAGTATCAGTATTTTCGTATTTGTATTTCTGCCCTCCATAAAATGTATTCCAGTATTTGTATTTCCAAATACTTCTTTGAGTATTTCTGCCCAACCCTGGTCAAGACCACCCGCGGGTTCAGTGTGCCTTCAAATTTAAACGGCCGCCTGATCGTTCGAACTGTCATCTGTTCTTTCAAACTTGTCTGCTTTTTGTCGTCTGCTTGCTCAAACAAAAGCATCCCATAGACCAAACTTGGACCATGTGATTGCGATAAGAAGTAATTGCAGGTCTCAAACGACGTTTAAGTAGGCTCGGTGTAAACAGTGGATACAAGGTGCTGATCATAGGTGCCAGTGGCCATCACCGACTTATTATGCCTGATTCACTTGGTCTGTTCCCGCTTCCGACTTTCAGTATCGACGTCGATCATCGCCGCTACCGTCTACACTTTTGCAGCACGAGCGACGTCGCGACCGAAAATAGCTAGAAGAATCTCATCATGGTTTTGGCCTCCATTTTGTGGCGTTCACGCGAATGAATCGCCGCACGTAAAACTATTTACGCAAAGTTTAGCAGCGTAACGAGCCTTGATAATTTCGCTCAGGCGACTAAGTGGTAAGACATTGCTATGAGGACGTAGAATCGACAATTTCAACTCGAAAACGAGTACGGAGACTCACACAGACGCCGACAACGTAATTTTCCAGTGGTCTGTTGACGCGGGACGCGGTGCTTCTTGCGCACACTTCATTGCGCATACGCTCGAAGTGTCATCTGCTCTTTCAAACGTGTCTGCTTTTTTTCGACTGCTCGTTCAAACGACAGCGGCCCGTAATCCAAGTGTTCACCCGGTGATTGCAATAATAAGTAAGTGCAGGCCTCAAACACTTTTAAGTTTGAAGGTTAGTTGGGTTAAGTAGGCACAGTGTAAACAGTAGATACAAGGAGATGTTGATTATTGTTACCAGTGGCCATCACCGACTTGTAATGTCAGATTCTACTTGCGATTTTCAGTATCGACGTCCACCATCTCAGCTACGGTCCACGCTTGTGCAGCCCGAGCGACGTCGCGACTGAAAATAGCGAGCAGAACCTCATCGTGGGAGCTAGGCTTTAGCGCCCATTCTGCGGCGTCCACGTGAAAGGAACCGCCGCACGTCACATTATTCACGCGAACTTTTGCAGTGTATCGAGCCTCGTTAATTTCGCTAAAACCGCTCAAGTAGTCGGACATTGTTAGGAGGACGTTGAATCAACAATTCTAACGCGAAAAAGAGCACGGGGACTCACACCGCCGCCGACAACATCGCATTTCAATGGTTTGTTTTTTGGGCGATTGCCCACCCTCCATCGCGCTTCTTGCCCACCCTCCATCGCGCATGCGCGGCGCCGGTGGCGTCCGCTAGGGTCGCTCCACTTTGTTTGTAAACATGAGCTGGTGTATACCACCCACTCCTCACAGGGAACGGTCTGATTGGCCTGTGTGATGGAACATCCTTTGGGGGCTTTGTTGTTCACTCTTCTGCAAAGATTTTGAGGCGCAATTTGCACGAGAAGACAACTGAAGTGTCGATGCGCGCTGCAATTGCCTTTAGTCTGTGTGCGGAGTTGTGCACATATGGTATGGAGATAACAGGTGAAGCTTTACTACGCGGAGCACGGGGCCTTTCACCAACCCACTCTTTGTTCTTTGTCACGAAATGAAATGATCGTGAATTTTGTGCAGGTTACGATGGAACTCTACGACGGCTCAGGACATGTTTTGCGCACTTTTATACGATGAAATCAACATGGCCGACTGTGCCGCTCAATTACTTGGTTCCAACGACCAACGGATATTAATTTTTCTTCGTACTCTTCTCGCGCGTCGACCAACGGATATTAATTTTTCTTCGTACTCTTCTCGCGCGTCCTGACTTCAAGCAGCAAGAAAAAATAAAAAAGTACTCGAAGCCGACCACGTCGGGCATGGACGCTCAATCCACAAACGTCCAAGAAAAGTTACAGCAGCAGCGATCCCACCGACCAAGCGACCGCCAAGGGCTAGATCGGTGAGCTATGGGCGACCTCGGCAGAATATAGGCTCAGCAAGGCACTCCTACCTGTTTCGACATAAGTGTTGCTCCGACGGTCCCTGGCCAGTACGGTCTGTCTGCCCACGACCGGCTGGCTTGCTGAATGAAATATGACCGCGTGACCCCTGTGAACCTTTCCCGTGTAAATAGTTTGATCGCTAACCTCAAATTTAGATTAACAGGTCAAGCTCGTCTTATTATTTTTCGAGGCAGCGGCGACGAACGCTGTCATCTAAAAGGGACTATCATCAATTTTATCTCCACGTTTTGTGTTATATAGAGCTAAAACAAACGCCGTATGGATTACCTGCGCAACATATGGTATGTATACTTTGTTATTAATATGCCATCTTTATTCCGACACGACGGTACGTAAACACTGTCGAGCTAGAGCAGTTCGTACAAGCTACGCGATGCCGGTCCAGCCTTCCTTTGCCCAGTGTCACGTTGGCATCTAGTTGCAATAGTAAAAGATCGGCCTCGAAGCGCTTACCAAAACGCGGTCCAACAGCGCAAATCCAGCACTTCGATCAAACGGGTGCGTCCGCTCCGAGTGTGGACAGGTATTTACGTGGCTCTCGCTGACACTCTCGTCGTTCAAACATCTTCTGGGCGTCGGATCGTTCCTGCATTTCCGAGGCCGAGAAAAAAGCCGCGGCGATTTGTTTATATCTACGCCGCTTTGCAGACGTCCGGCGCGGCTGTCTTTTTAGAGCATGATGGCAGTCGTGTTAAATTCGTAGCAGTCGAGCTTGTAGCAGTCGACGATGGCGGTTATTCCGGTCTCGGCAATCGGGCCTGTTCAGATCGTGCTAGAGTCGACATTTGACTGCACGGACACGAGCCGCAGACCAGCGTTGGCGGAAAGGCCGCCTGTGTTTGTTATTCAAAATCTACGTGCTCCGAACGATTCCGAGCTCTCCAATTGGTTGTTCGTGTTGCCGAAGACGCCGTCGCCGTAGCAACAGCCCGCTCTCGCAAGGATCGGGAGCTTGCGGGACACAGAAAGTTCTAGTTTTTCCGTACGAGAACGTCGCTTTCCTCCTCTCGCTTAAAAATGCGTTCGTGAATACCAATTTCTTTCTCTTCTTAAGTTACGAACTTTTTAGCTAAGTTGTCGTAACCTAAGACGCTATTCGTGAATTTAGCCTCAGTTGCTCGCAAGCAAACATGACACAACAAAGCTCTCACAGCCCGCATGAGGGGATTTGTAAGCCTCTAAGATGCCAAAAGGGAGGTGCAAAATATCCGTAAATATGCTAATTGCTATTACCCTCCTTGCCCGAGTAATAGACGCACTACATATGAACAACGGTCTCGTATGTACTTCGATGTAGAGCACACATACAGGCGATCATCGCGTTCTGCATAAAATACGCTGCGAATAAGGAGGTTGAGAACACGCTTCTCGGTAAAATTCCTACCTGAGCAGAGAGATTTTCACTTGAAAACGTTACCTCTGTGCGTAAATCGCTGGCATTTTTTTTAGCCGATTCCGGTGATTGTCTATCCGCATGCTTTGCGGGAAACCGGACCCCTAGGCTTTGCTCATAAGCAGAGCGTAAATTACTCTATAAGAACTATATCAAATATACTTTGCGTACCGTTCTGGTCTTCGTCCGCGACTGGGAACAGCTACAGGATAGATCTGTAGAACCCTCACTTATTTTTTATTTTATTTGTCGGACTAGGTGGTGAGGGTGTTCGTGTAATTATATGTTGATAGAGATATTTAAGGGAGAGCTCATAACCGTAATATGTTGCAGGTTACGGCAACGTGAAAGATAAATGGCTTGAGAACTACGAAATGGAAAACATTTCGGATGTGATCGACACCGTATGGGAAGAGGTGGCGCCACTCTACAAGAAACTTCACGCTTTCGTGAGGATGAAACTGAAGTCTATCTACAAAGGAAAACTGCCTGCAGACGGCACAATCCCAGCACACCTGCTTGGTAGGACACTCCGCTTTTCTTTCGAAGTATTGCAAAGAAGCCTCAGATGTGTTTCCGAAATTATTTCATGTTGTCGAATGGACTTTAAACGGTTGAAATAATATTTATTTCCACGTCACTCAACTTTTTTTTTTTTTTGCTATCTTTTCTAACTTATTTTTCTAGCTCTCGTTGCTTCGTGTTTTTGCCACTTTGAATTCCTCGCTTTTATTTCAAATTGGAAATTCTAAGACCCAGGCGTCTCCATATAATACCAGCTTTAGATAAGAAGACGAGTTAAATGTTCATTAAGTGAAGTATAAATCGACTAGTTGAATTTGATCGTTAGGTAAAGTAGAAAATATTTTTGATGGAACGTTGAAAACCACTTTCTGATCTGCGCGGCAGTCTTGTGGATTTATCGGGCGATGCACCCACGCGGTGCTAGCTGCACAAACACGCCGCCCCATAAAGGTAATAAATTAAATGATTTATTATATTCTTATTAACATACAAGTCTGCATACTTGGAAGAGCCTGCTGATGTTTTGTAAAGTTCAGTTACCTTGCAACGCGATGCTATATCTTAGCAAGCTCCAGGTGAATGTGCTGAATAAAAAAGAGGAATGATATAATCGCGCGGACCTCACGAGAAAAAAAAAAGATAGGGCAGTGTCACTCCTGGTCGTGTTGCCAAGACGCAGAACCGTGAGCTTATTTTTAAATGTTGATTAGACTGCGCACGTTCGAGGTCCCTGGCACGCTTGAAAACTTCGGAGTAGCTGCGCCTAAATCGGCTTTTTCAGTTGTTAACTTACACAATCATTTTATAATTCTTTATGGGTACCATAAGTATTATAGCTCATACATCACGCTCGAAACACCGGCTCGAAGTGGTACGAAGTGCTAAATAACCACAATTGCGGTCGGCTAAAACCTTTTTTCTTTGATGTCATTTTAAATCCTTTTCCACGGTTTTTATAGCGCCGAGAAAGTGAGGAAGAGGAGGAGACGAGAGTTTGCGGAGACGTCAGAACACCGAGCTCTGGATCGAATGGTTAGTGGGTAGACCTGAAGCTAGCTGTCTTTGTGTCCACTGCGCTCGTCGAACGCGTTCGAATGCAAGAGCCAAACAGCCGACGCCTGCGTTGCACCTTCAAAGCGTTCGATGAGTGCAGTGCAGAGAAAGGCTGCTATCTTTAGATCTACTCCCTAATCATTCACGCAAGAGCTCGGCCTTCTGACGTCCTCGCGCGCTCACGTCTCTACCCGTACTTCACTTCCTCGGCGTATTGATTGCGTATAAAAACAAAATGCATCTAGCAGGCGTCTCGGTGGTTTCGTAGCAGACCTCCCTTCACAAATAAAACTAGAGAGACGTGTTATTCTTTTATCTGGTTTCGTTCGTAGGAAACATGTGGGCACAATCATGGGATAACCTTTACGCGAATCTCAGCAGCGGATCTCCGTTGGATGTGTCTGAAGAACTCGTTAAGCAGGTAAAAAAGTTATTTTTCTGTACCCACTTAGTATCGATTTATATGTGTTTTTTGTGTGCTTCGTAATACGCATTCTTTGAACACTTTCGTTGTTTCTGTTCATTGGTTGCATCGACCTGTGAGATTTCAGGTCCGAAATGAGCACTCCAGAAACTTGCAGTCTGCACACACTCGAAGGAAAGGCGTAATTGTGGCATGCAATGACACTATTTTTTACTCCAAGTCAGGAATACTCTAAAATCTCTGCGCACGAGCGTTATGCGTCCGCTTCATGTCGTCAACCCGTCTCTACAGAAAAGAGTTGGACGCCTGTTTCACGACATTGTTTTGATCAGGGGACCGAAAGAGCAAAGCTTGTCGCTGATAGACTTTTTTGATCAACACTCTGAACCCCCTGTCAAATCAAGCAACCATGTAATCTGCTGCCGATTATACGCAGCATTGTTCGTTATAGCCAAATTCTGGTGCATGGCAAAGCAGAAGACGTATGTTCATCGCTACTCGTTGTGGGAATTCGGCACTTCCCGTTATTACATTTATTGTACACGAACCATTACTCGAATGTTCATCGAGCCACTGATTGTCATCAGCCCAAGTCGAATGGTCACGCCGTGCATCGTGTTCAATTTATGAGCATAACTATAGTCATCAAGCGGAAATACTCAAAAGTGCGGCAACGTGGCGATCTCCGCGACTACATTATCAAGCCTATCGTAAGAGAGACTAAACAAAGTCCACACTAATCCTTCAAATTTTACCGCAAATGAAAATCTCCTGAGTCAGCGGTATGGCGAGCAAGTATGCTTGGGTCACACTAGTGCTGCTGTAGCTTTGTAGATTAAGAGACATTTCAACCAAATATCGTTGCACGGCCACATTAAAGGGACCCTGAAATCCAACAGCGAGCAATCCAGGGGAAAGGAGAAAGGAAGGCGCACTTTGCTGTCAATATTTATTATATAGAAAGCCTCCATTTCTACTACAATTTTTTTTATGATTGTTCATTTGGTGTAGCTTTTTTTTCTTCATAAAATGCATATTATTTGTCTAGTGAGAGGATTACGTTTTATCGCAGAACATTTGTATTCTTAGAATATTTATTTTCCACAACGAGGATTTAATTCGTTTTGGCAATATTATCTGAAGAAGTCACCCTATAACTGCCTTCAGAATTGGTCCGATTTTGCTATGTATTTACCCAATACCATAATCAGAGTTGTAAAAAAAAATATTATGACTATCTCTTAATAACCAAAGCAGTCACAAATCTCGTAGACGCGAGAACCAATTGATGGACTTTGCCGCTCTTAGTCCAAACAAATTTCCACTCAGGAAACAGAAGCCGCATTTTTTTTTTTCTCTTAAGTGCTCCTATGTTGGAGAAGGAACACCAAACAAACACTTTAGTCTGAACTCTACAATAGCGAATATAAGTCGCCTTAAAAGCTCTTTCGAAAAAATACGAAGTGTCTAGCGTTACGACCGACGTAACCCCAAGTTACGCCCCAATCTCCGCCTTCCCTAGGTTCGCGGGGGAGAGAGAGGAGGGCGGGGGGAGGGTTAGGTATACGCGTTTCAGTGCTCCGTCCGGACGTAAGGCTAGCCACAGCGTTCAAAATAACGCTCAGTCCCCTCCTTCTCGGCGCGGTCAGTGCTTATCGCCGACATAACGATCCATGTCACCACCATGCGGGCAAAGTTCTCAACTTTTCACAAGTGTGGATAACGCGGCGACATCCGCTGTGAGCGCACGTTAAGGAGCATTAATGTTGGCGACGAAAAGGTCTTTCCATCAAAGCGGCCTTCTTTATTTTAAATGCTGGTTCATTTCTTTCCCTTTCTGAAAGCTGGCGTTCTTTCACGAGCGTGTAAATGTAACAATCCGAGAAATACAAAGTTGAATCATTCTATATAACTGCTACTCGGTTGTAGAATCGCACATTTTTGTCATCTGTCCTTCCTCGTAAAGCGATCATGAGTCACTTTTATCCAGGTATTCCTGTTATTGTCGTTTCGATGACTGTCACGCAACGGACACTTGTGTATGAACCGTGGCGTCATTCCTCGTTCACACTTTTACGTCCGCTGGCGGACGCGCGCGGAAGTTGATGTCGGGCTTCAAAGTCCGCTCACCACCGGCGGAATATTCGGCCGTGAGAGCAATCGGTCCGGGACCCATTTTTTACGAAACGCGTGCTACGTTGCGCTTAGGATCTTGTTGGGTTTGGCCATTTCCACCGCTGCACCCATTGCCCCGATAGCGAATCCAAATACCCGACGGCGGATCAACGGTTAACGAGTGCAAGCCGACGGACGACATGAACTCGATCTAAATTCAGAAGCTGCATTCGGCCACGACGGCCTCGGCATCACTGGAACAGAATAAATGTGAATAAATTAGTAATGATTTTTTTGAAGAAGCCAAAAACATTTAGGTCGCTCATGTTGCTGATTTTTTGCAGAAATATTCACTTCTTTATACTCGTTGCCCTTATGGTGTGTGTGTGTGGGGGGGGCGCTATTTGGCGTTCTTATTGAATAATACTGCATTATTAATGATTGTGGAGCAATGATAAGTAGCGCAGGGTTCTCCACGCTCTACGTTTCATAAGATGTCAAGGACTATGGGGCGCTCTAAATGCTTGCCTGTCCAGACACGCAGTCGTTGTCTTTTGCTCCTCCTTTCCAGAAGTGGACTGTGCATAAAATGTGGAAAACGGCTGAAGCTTTCTTTGTAAGCATGGGTTTGCCAAACATGACAGACACCTTTTGGAACAAGTCTGTAATGACCAAACCAACAGACCGGGACATCATGTGCCATGCGACGGCGTGGGATTTTTTCAGCCATAACGATTTCAGGTATCATATACAATATTTCATTTAGAAGAAAATATGCGTTATTACTTTGATCAATGCTGGCAAGATGGACTTATGCAGGAAACATTTTTGGGTTTGTATATTTTCGTCGCAGTAATTTAGGCACCGAGGCTCATCACCAACTTCCGACGAGAACCCCACTGGTTACCGCTAGAGTTACATGATCGATCGCTCACGCCGACCAATGGGAGTGAAGCATCACCCGCGAGAAAGTCCTGCTGCGGCGGTGACATTTCAATGGCTAAAAACGGGGTATTGTAACAGCCAGAAAAATTAGTCTGTCACATTTCTATAATTGCTTCTGTAACTTTTTTTTTCTAGTAACGCTGGAAAGTGCCAACTTCTCCCCTATAACGTATTTACATTAAAATTGGCACCGTTAGTTTCGTATAGTATAGGTTTCAGATTTTTAAATAACCAAGTGCTCAAATGCCCATTATAATGAGGGTGCGCCTTGATACCATGGTGGCTATTTTTTTTTTACCAACCCAAACACGTTTGTGACATGCGTCCTTTGTAGTATCCGCTTACAGAAAAGCTTAATATGGTCAAACATTCACAGCGACACCCTCCAATGTTTTATAATAATGCAGTATTTTAAAAGTGATCGTTTATATTTGTTTAAAAAAACTTTCATTTTTTGTTTTGTGGATTAAAGAAAATATATTGTTAATTAATTACCATCAACCGCCTCTACAACATCGCCATGCATCGCACAGCACCGCCGTACGGTAAACGTAATAGCAGACGTTGACATTGTCTGTGTCTGTAGAAAGTCGTCTCAGTGGCATAAAAACACAGCACTGCACTATAAATCATGAGGTCCTGCGGCTGAGTATACAAGGTGTTTAATTTTAGTTCGAACGGATTTTTTCAAAGGGTGACAACTAGAGGAGTGCCGTTTTCTACCTGTACCTATTTATCAGACTCGGCGGACATTAGATGAAAAGATCGTTCTGATAGTTCTCTCTTGAAAGCCCGTCTGTGGGTCCCACCTGGAATTCTAAGAGATATCCACGTACCCTTCAAACATTTTTGAGTATTGAGATGTCCATCGAAATTTTCTAAGAAACCTGACCGACCCTTCAAGAATTTCTGAATTGTGTGAGAGGTCCGTTAATGTTTTCTTAGAGGCTGCGGGGCCTGTGAGAATCTTTTTCAGGGAAAGCACGTGACCTATCAAAATTGCTTTAATGGTTCTGTGGGAGAGGTCACGTGACCCTTCACAATATATGCGTCGATGAAACCGTTTGGTTATCTTCTGTCGGGCGGCCGCATCGAAGGGTCGCTTAGTGTCGGCTTCCCGTCTCAATCGTAGGTTTATCTCCTAAAGCAGCTGAGAGTGTGGATAAAAGAGGTCTTTCAGTGCCCTGTTTCCTACGCCTAAAGGTCCGCCCGGCTTCAAAAGCTCGTCCGGCGACCGCAAAACACACCGTGGCCGCCACCGCGACGGCACCAAGGATGACACCATTTTCGTGCTCAGGATTTCGTCAACGGCGGAGGATGTTGGTTTCGCGTTTGCCAAACATGTTACTGACAGTGCGTGCTTCCGTGCGTGCGTGCATGCGTGCGAATACCTGTGTGTAGGGGGTCTTCCCGCTCGGTTTTAAGAGTTAACTACCATACATCATAGGGATTTACCCAGCGGCATTGTGAGTACCTCGAATGATATTATTGGCGATAAGGAACTCAGTTCTAGCTAATTCGCCTGGTCGTTCTCTTTAGAGCTGCTTCCGCCCGGGTTCAACAACGGTTGGTTCTTATCCCTTGCAAAGTTTCAACATGCATGTAAAACTCAATGTTTAAAATAAACTCTACATGATGTGTTAAACAACTGCAGTTTCGGTATATTGGTCACAGTTATTTGGGCCTTGATAAGTTGAGCTGAGTGGATCTGAAAGCCAGAAAGGTCTGGAGGACTGAGGGGTCTGAATCGCTGGAGGGTGTGAAGGGTCTTAAGGGCTAAATAAAAGGTCTGAAAAGCTCAAGGGGTGAAGGGATGAAGGGGTTGATGGCCTGTAGAGTTTCAAGGGCTGAGAGGCTTCCATAAGACATAAGGGCTGAAGGGTTATTTTCAATAGACTAATTTTTCTAATCAAGTAAAATTGCTTCACCAACTTTTTAAATATTGGTCTTAGGACCCACGTTGCAATTGCAGTACTTAGGGCAATTACTAATAGAGAATCAGGCCAATTTCAAGGATTTGCAAGAAATATATATATAATAGTTGCTTAGATATTACTAGATCAATTTTTACGTTTCTTTACCCTATTTAGGAATTGCACAAAAAAAACGCCACAACCCCAGCCCTCATTGACGCTTGGAAAGGTGTCGTAATCGTTTCAATCATGTCGCAACTAGATCTGGAGCGTGTCCTTGGTGGGTGCGGTACTACGCAAATGACGACGTGACTGAAGCAACTGCGTCATTCTTCTAAGCACCATTGTGGGCAGGACTTGCGGCACTCTTTTTGCGCGCAGTTTTCGAATCGCAAGAAACAACACGCGTATTAATCGATTAATGTTTAAAAAGAACTGTCCCTTTCTTGCAAATTCTCTCAAATTGATCTGACCTCCAATAGAAATGGCAGTCAATACCGCAATTACAATACCTTTAAAAACAATAACTAAAGCATAATTACCACAATATAATTAATTAGCCAACTAACCATGACGTTTACCCCTCATTCAATGTCCGCCAAGCCTGATAAATGCGTACTGAAGACAACACTCGCTTAAGTCTCTCCCCCTTTTTTTTTTGTTTTTTGAGTAATGCTGTTCGAATTATAATCAAACATATTTAATATTTGTTTAATTATGAGTCAGTTTTTCTGTACATTGTTTTGCCTATGCTGGAGGGCGGGGGGGGTCATGAATATCGTACCGGCGGTGCTAACTTCTTTTTGTGAAGTATGCACTGAAGGAAGTGAACATTTCTGGGAAGTAGAAAATGAATAAAAGAGCGCTATAAAAAGACAAAAAAGACGAGTAGAAGGCACACACGAACACAGCCCTGACTACCGACTGTCGTTTAGATGCAGAATAAACTTAATTGGCATTAAATATGACGAAACGGGGTTCTGTTATAAACCGCTACGTTATTTAAAGTCACTGCTATCTAGTTTCCTTTAGAGCGCTGTTGACGTCGCACGACGTCCAAAACTTGGTTGAAGGACGACTCTAGGCAGACGCATACAACATACGGGTGCACTGAAACTCAAATAAATGACGGAATACGGGTGCAGAACACTGTTGACATGCATCTCGAAGTGGTTCAAGAGTAAAGATGTGCAGTTTTATTTCAATGTATCGATCAAGTCATCATATGTAGAATTCTGTTGAATAAAGAACGCAGCGGTCGCAAAATCTACTCTTAAGGCTCTGTAATACTCCGAAGTAAAGCACAACTAACGCAATGTAGAGCAAAACGCACGCCTTCCATTGGCCTTCAACCAGGAACTAGACATATGCGATCAATCAGCAACTGTGTGCGCTGCGCTACGTCGCGTTTAACGCTAGACGCAGGAGTGCGAGGGTTCTATGGCAACGGCTGCGTCGGCTCCAACGAGATAGAGAGGCTTCGAGCGATAAACTAGTGTAATAAAAGTGGCCCTCCCACTCCCTTGCCTGCCGCAATTTTGCAATTTTGACCACTAGACACCTGACCGCACCAAATCCTGCGGGGTTTAAGCATTAATAAGCTGAGATTTTTATGGCGATCACTGTAAAAAAACATAATAAACTATTTTGAATATCGTTAGCCCCCGAAATCAGTGCGTAGCTTCGATAAAAACCAAAAATACAGTACAATGACTTACTGCATCGAGCGGAGTCATTACGAAGCTGCCCGTGTTTTTGCTGTAAAAACACATTTTGGATTGAGAACAAACAAAAAATAACGTATCTCGCCGGTACTGTTATAGATATAAATAGGCAATTATCTGTGCGCAGTACTTCGGTAAAATCTAGAGGTAAAATTACAAGGACACATGTCTAGTGGACAAAAAAGTGCATCATGGCGGTGGCAGGTTGGCGATCACTTTCAGCAAGACTTGTACGTAGTTCAACTACTCTACTCATATTTCTTTAGTTAAACTACTTTTCTGAGTAGTTTAGTAACTTTCAATTGCAGTTTTATTTCGGTAGCTAGTAGTTTACTTTAATTACTTTTTTTAAGTAACTTCTACTCAAGTTACAAATTACTTTCGAATTTCAGTGGTTGTTTTGCTTGCCAACAAACATTCCTGTACAAAGGAGATAGGATGTTCGAAGATCAGCTGATATTTGCAAAGAGGAAGAAGCATGTGGCGTAGGAAATGCGGGGGGAGAAAATTGTTTGCATAAACCGAAACTCCCCTAAAAGATTCACAAGCCCCCCCCCCCCCCCCCCCCTCCACACACACACACTCCAACAACACTGCTACGAGGCGCGGGAAGCGAACAGACACGACGCAAGAGAGACCGAGTAACTGCAGGATTTGCGCCGAAGACTGGCGTTTCTTTGTGTCCCGAAACTAGAGGAGACTCGACCCTTTTGAAGAAAGGGCTGGTCCCCGCTTCGCCCCAACGTGGGAACTCTCGCCCACTACAGGAGGCGCACACACTGCATCCTCAGTCAAAGGAGGAAACAAAATGCACCACCTGCTTCGAAACTCATCCTGTGCTCCCGTAGTTTGTGCTGTACACGAAGAATCGTGTGCTTAAGAGCAACGCAAAGATTACCTTTTTGCGTTGCCTTTCCTCCCAAAACTCAGAATATGGAGATATTCAAAAATTCATAGATCGTTCGAGAAACTTGTAGTAATTCCCCAATCCCAACCGTTTTTATATAAAAAATAATGAACAAGCAGTATCGGGATGTACTCTATGTACATGGTACTTAAAGTAAAGTACAAATTGTACTTTACTTGAAGTAAATTTTCTGAGCATGTACTTCTATTTTTCGAGGAAAGTAGGGCTCCCAACTTCAATGTACATCTCTCGAATTGGGGGAGAAAACAAATGGCGGTGTCGCCGTGTGAAAACGCGCTCTTTCGAGACGTCATCTGGTCATTTCTCTGAGTGAAGTAATGGCGGCTGTAAGACCGATGGAAATAACTGTCTTTAAGTGGATTGTGTCAAATAACTCGTCAACGAAAGTAAAACAACTACTCTGCGGCGACTTGCTTGACCTTATACAATATTTGCTGCCATTACTGTAAAAAAACTGATGGGGCTCCAATTACCCCTGGTGAAATGCATATCAGTTAAAGAAACACCGTTTAGGGAATAAAAGAGCACCATGAAAGAGTGGGTTAAAAGTGCTTGTACTTTACCGTGAAATATATAGTATTTGTATACGTTACTTCAAGTACATTGCAGCCGGTGTACTTACTACTTTACTTGAAGTACATAACCTCTCATTTACTTTGTACTTTACTTTAAGTCCTTTTTATGTGTACTCTATACAACACTGTAAACAAGCAAACACTGTCTAGAAAATTGGGGGATCGGTGGCCGAGTGGGCTGAAGCGCACACCCAGCTCGACGCGCGTGGAGCGAAAGCTCGCGCTGCCGAACCCAGGGATCCTGGGTTCGAGCCCCACCCCTGCCCGTTTCGATCTGGATGAGCATCGTACCGGCGTGCGGTCGTGTATCACTACTGCGTGGTGCACGTTAAAGACCCCAGGCTAGCGGTTGTACCGCACTGGCTAAATTGCTCATCTACAGTGTAAACCAGTGTCGCCCCTACTGGCAGACCAACCTTACGCTGTATAAATCACTCAAACGTCCAATTTGACTTTTTTTTTTTTTTTGTCTAGAAAATCCATCTCAGACAGTGCTAATCCTCAAAGTACAAATGACACATTCGCAGTACATCATTGACCAAACAAACAAGAAAGTACAAAACAATTAGGCACGCAGAAGCAGAACCAGCAATTGAAGCATTTCTTTGAAAAAAAAAAAAAAACAAGCCGATTCATACTTGGCTAGCACAATTTCGCTAACGGATGAAAACCTTTGTAGTTTCTTTTTACCACGAAAAACATATAAAAGTAACCTCAAAGTAACTTCAAGAGCAATTTCGCTACTTTTTTACGGTAATTAGTTATTTTCTCAATTACTTTCTATTCGAGTAATTTCTACTCTACTCAAATTACTTTTGACGTCAATACTCAGTAAATTAACTTAATTACTTTTTTTAGTAACTTGTACATGTCTGCTTTCAGCTGCCAGTTTATCGCTCTAAGCCCCTGTACCTCGTTGGTCGGCTCCAACGAAGCTGTGGCCATAGCAACCTTACCACTCGGTCTGATTCAAAGCAAGTGTGTGAATTGCCCTTTCCAGAGCGTTTGGCCTTCCACGCGCGCGACGCCGTATCAGTGCAATTTTACTTAGAAGACGAGGTCTGTGCCTTTCTCTCAAGACGTCCTCATTGGTGCATCCACGCATCGCCGCCAACCTTGCGTCAACGTCGCCGCCAGTGGGTCTTGCACCGTCCCACAACGAGCGTGACGATAGCAGGCGGCAACGCGAAAACGAACGCGTCTGCCGTTTTGTGGCGATTCTCGTCGAGCTTCAACGCGCTTGCCGCTCCGGGCAAGTCGGGAATACCCTAACGGTGGTGTCGTGCACAGGATCTGTCTTCTACAGGGTGAAACAAGCAGACGGCAGGCTCTTTAAATCGACCGGAAAATTCGGTTTCTTAACCTATCGCGCTATGACTTTGTGCAGCGTTGCCCACATAGAGTTATTATAAAGTACGCTAGAGGTTCAAGTTGCGCTAGTGTGCTGACGCAAATTGAAGCAGACAGCAACCAGTCGAAAATTGACTCCCGGTAATGCATTTCTATGGGAAAAAGTGAGTGCATTTTCTCCCTGCGCTCGATCATAAGAGCAAATACCCCAAATAATTCGTACGTACTAGGTAGTTTGGAACATTTCTCAGTCAAGCCGACGAAAGAATTGGTCAGCTACGGCGTTTTTCCTCTCGAATTCATAACACTAAAAACGGTGCTAAAACGGCTTCGTACGTGTATTTATGTGCACTGTCGGACACTGTTAGCGCGAACGCGGCGTCGGCGATTTCCAGCATGGGGGATATACACGCCAAACGAACGAAGGACATATGGAAAATCAAGAGCGGCGGCAAGAACTACGCAGCAACACCGGATCAGTAACTCGCAGTGCATGTACGATCAAAATAAATTGAAGGCCACGTAATCTATTCTGATTTTTAATAAGTGAGTACCGCTTTATTCTTTCTGTCCTGAATGAGCGAAGCTGCGTGTTCTACGTTCAAAATATCACCCGCGCGCTAGACATCTTTGAGAACAAGTGCGCGATAAAAGCTGCCCGGCAGAGAAAACAATATGAAGAGACACCTTTCATATCCCACGGACTTTATTCTCTACGTTGAAGGTTTTTATCCGCTCATGCAAAACGGGATCATTTTCATATGGTTACAGGACTGGCATATTATCAATATACAAGCGTCACCGGAATGCTGGCGAGCCTTGAACACACTCTATATTCGTTTCTATCGTAATTTTGCTTTGAATCGTCGCTTGTTTTTACACACCTGCTGCGGAACACACGTTTGGGATTGAAATGCAGCGAAGTTAAACATAGCTCACTGATGAAGAAAAATGCGCTAACTAAAGCAATTACACATTTGCAATGTTAATTAAGACACATACTATTCGGTACGACCGAAATAACCAAAGTGTTCCATGTTATTTTCCGGCGAAGAGACAAAATGCACGCGCGTTTTCCCATAGGAATGCACAGGAGCACCGCAAAAGTAGACTGGTTGCTGTCTGCTTCAACTTGCGTCACGGAAGTCGCATAGACACTAGCGCCAGTTAAACCTCTAGCGTACATTATAATAACTCTATGGTTGCCCACAGATGGTGTTTTTTTTTTTTTTCTAAAATTTGCAAAGAGCGAATTTACCTGAGGAAAAAGTAAAGAAAGAAAAAGGCTTAGCTCCTATGGAAATGCAGCGACGCCACCGGTCTTCAAACAACACGGCGCCGTTTCGTACGGGAGACAAGAGATGGCGCAACGAACGCCGCCAACGAACGAGCATACGGCTATGGTGCCTGGAACGCGTCTCCGACTGGTGTGTTTACCGCGGCCAAAAAAGTGGTCCCTCGATTTCCGCCTGATGACGTCATAAAAGTGTCATGTTGTCGCCGGTCGTGACCCTGGTGGCGTTTCAACAGTTGTGGTAAATGGGGCAGAAGCCTGTTCTGCTGCAGGCCGCTTTTCACTGTGACAGTTCACGGAAGCTAGAGCAGCCGGAAGTTGGGACGCCTAAAGCGACGCCGTGACGACAGCGACACTCGCGTTCGCTCGTGCTTTTCGCCAGCATTTCTACGGCCAACCGCCAGGATCGCGACAGGCAACAGCATGACACTCGCATCATTTGGTGCCACCTTGGGACCACTTTTGATGTATGGGCGGGATAGGGCGCTAAACACACCAGTCGGAGACGCGATCGAGGCACCATAATACGGCGTCGAGAGCCAGCGTCTTTAGCAGACAATCTTTTCGACTCAAAAGCGGAGCGCGTTGCGCAGGCAGCGACAGTCGCAGAAACAAAAACAGGCTCGGTAACAGCAAGGAACTGCAGTTCCTTGTCTGCAAAAGGGCCGGCTCTCGGCGTCGTCTGCTCGTTCGTTGGCGGCAGCTGGCGTCGCGACCGCTTGCGCCATCTCTTGTCTCCCGTGAGAAACGGCGCCGTAGCGCGATAGGTTAAGAAACCGAATTTCGCGGTCGATTTGAAGAGTCTGGCGTCTCGTTGTTTCACCCTGTATATAGTATTGGTCAGCGTCGCTATGTCACCTCTCAGTCACGTTTCTTTCTTTTTTCTTTTCTTGATATTTTTTTAAGCTCGTTCAGCTGGCGGAGTCTTGTCGAAGTATCGCGGAGTCTTCTCTACTGCCTTTACTATTTTTTTTTTTTTGCAACTCCTTTGTGTGGCCGGCGAAGCTCGTGGCGCAGGTGTTTAGCAGCCGGTCAATTAGCCGCCAACTGTTCGACCTTGCACGACTCACTCACTTTTTTTCAAGGGAAATCAAAGTTAGGTATAGTAAAATCTCAATTCTACACTGAACTCTATCCCCGCACTAACGTACGAGCAATGCTTAGATTAAACTTGCTCCTATCTGGGGCACGTAGCGATTACGAGCGTCACTGTGACAAATAAACCTTTTTTGGTCATTGAGTGAACCGATTCAGATAGACCATACGAAAATGTCATTAAGGAGACTGATAGTTGTGCTTTAAAATAAAATAAACTGAGCATATCTTTGTTTGTCAGAAACGGTCATACCGTCGTCATAGTCGGCATAGTCCCTTTGTCACAGCCGCCCATTCGCAGAAGTTTCTTTTTTTGTTCAGAAAACCTTAGCAATTCAGTTGACGCAAAACAAGCTATGTTCAATAAAGAGTAATGTTACCAATTTACATAGATCTAGAATAACTACATAAATGAATGGACAGATATGACTCCCAACTGGTAATTTTCAGCTGGGAGCCATTTCATTCCATTCAATCGTGTTCTCTCTCTAAATGTCTGCATTGTACAACAAACTTACTCATCCTGACTGAAAGAATTTACGTCCAATCTGCGTGACCGCGGACTCAACTAAATTCCAGCGTGCCAAGCAAGACGCCGCGCTTATTTCCTAACGCAGGATAAAGATGTGCACGCAGCTGAACATGGAAGATTTGGGAACCATACATCACGAAATGGGCCACATCATCTACTACATGCTCTACGAGCACCAGTACCCTACCTTCAGAGAAGGTGCCAATGAAGGCAAGTCAGGAACGGACATTAGTTGAGCTTGTTGGTGCATAATATTATACTATGGCCAGCTGAACTTGCGAAAAAGGAATACAGATGGAAAAAGAGGACAGACGTAGCGCTGGACTACCAGCTGTATTTTAATAATTTCTCCTCTTTTTGAACCTTGGCTGTTTTTTTTTTCGTTTTCTTCTTTTTTTAAAAGGCCTTCAAAAGAAAAAATAAATAAGAAAAAAAGCACAAAATCAAGGTTCAAAAAAGGAAAAAGTATTAAACCACAGTAAGTAGCGCTGTCCTTTTTTCTCTCTCTCTATTCCTTTTTCCTACGTTTAGCTGGCCCTATTACGGAACGCAAGTCGCACGTTTGCAGCAGCGAATACGCCGAGTAACTTCGGCAGCAAATTATATAAGCATTCGTTCATTGCAATTTCAGGCTTCCACGAAGCTGTGGGTGATTTAATTGGACTCTCCTCGTCCACGCCTTCCCATTTGCGTCGACTGGGACTCCTGAAAAACGATACTGAAATAAGTGAGAGCGCTTTCCCTCGAATATGCAATACACTCTAGCTCCGCAAGGCACCCGTGTCTTAGCGTGAAAAGAGAAAATGTGTAGGGACTCCATTCTGTGTGGGCTGTCTCCATTAGGGAGGTATCTGACTTTAGCGGTCTAGATGTAATTATGCTGCAGTTTCTTAACGCCTTCTGCCACTGGGACTCCAGCCTAGGTTAATACTCGTGAAGAGGTTAACCTTCAACTAATTTATTTTTGTTATTTACATACCGCTAACTTTAATTGTGCTTGCTGCCTTGTTTGGAGCTGGGCTCGCTGGTGCTCTAATGCTAATTCTGTTGTTCCTCTCTGGGCGTGCCTGTCGCACGGGCTTTCTTTTCGCTTGGCTAAAAAGAGACCGCAACAATTTCATTTATTTCCATTGAGCATGTCCAAGTCTAGGAACAGGAAAACGAGTGAAATTAATACAGTTAAAGCCGTGTTTTTTTTTTTTGTTTTTTTTTTGTTTTTTTAGACAATATTGACGGGTTGTTGATGAAAGCACTAGAAAAGGTTGCATTCCTGCCATTCGGACTTTTGCTGGACAAATGGAGGTGGTCTATCTTCACCGGAGAAACCCCCTTCGAGCAAATGAACAAGAAATATTGGGACCTGAGGTAATGGAATATTCAAAACTTTTCACAAATGGCACAGCTAGCTTTGTTTTATTTTCGTAAACTTGGTCGTGTTTTATATGCCCAGAATACGGTACCAGGGAGTGTCTCCTCCAGTCAAGAGAAGTGAAGAGGATTTAGATGGAGCGGCCAAGTATCACGTCCCTAGTAACACTCCCTACCTACGGTAAGTCATGGTTCTAGTAAAAAAAAATGGACATTCTTGTAAGTTTACAGGAACACCACAGCAAATATTAGATACTCAGTAAAAGGACCTTAAACGATGTTGTCTTGGAAGGTTTCTCACTTCATATCAGCTTACTGGCAGTATAGTCAGGTACAAGATAAGAATACGCCACATGTACTTACACCACCACGCGCCAGCAACGCCACGGAATCACGCCTTGTACCAGCCGAAACGGGCACCAGCCATGAAAAGTTGTGTGAAGTGTGGGCTTGTGGAAGCGAAAGACATTGGCACAGGCCAGGGTGCGGGGACGCGAGAGGGCTGGGCCCGGCACACAATTGTTTGGCTTTTTCGAATAAAGGTTATATTTTTCTGTATCCAGCTTGACTCGACCTTCTTGCGTGTGAGTAGTATGCATCGATTGCGAAAGTCGTAAGTGCGATGTTCACCTCGGTCGAGTGCTATTTGCGCACTGGGGTGGCACACCGTTTGGCGGTAATTAGGGCGTAAAGAGGAGTATTTGGAGCATTCTTAAACTATATCTGACCATAAACTATATCTGACCCTTGGTTTACTGTTTCTTTAAAGCACCTGAGAAATAAAAAGAAACGACTGTTCTGCAAAGCAAAGCAGTTCAATAAACCTGACTTGTGGTGTGCGCATCAGAATGTTGCAACACTGTTTAAGAATGAAGTGGAAAAAGCCAAAAACATATTTTTTAATGATACCCTACCATCCTTATTGACAAATGACACTAAGAAATTTCGGAATATAATTGGTGGACAAAACGAGAGTGTGATATCGCTAGTCGACGATAATGGAGTCTCAGTCCCAAGGTCGGAATGTTCATCTTTACTAAATGATGTGTTTCCTCAGTCCTTTATGCCACTGTCTTTTGTTTCTTGCCCTGAATATGATCTGGCAGCCTTTCCACTTATGGAGCCTGTTATAATTGATTGCATTGGTGTGCTTAGCATAATAAAAAATTTGAAAGTTTCTTCTTCACCTGGAACTGACGAAATTAGTTCTAAATTTTTAAAGAATACTGAAATTCTCTCTTCTGTAATACTATCTAAACTTTTCTCGCAGTCCCTAGATCTTTGTTTGTTGCCCAGCGATTGGAAGGTGGTACCTTTGTTTAAATCCGGTGATGCTCACTCTCCTCTTAATTACAGGCCTATATCTTTAACTAGTGTCCCATGTAAAATGTTGGAGCATATCATCTATTCTAATCTAGTTAACTTTCTTGAATCCAACTCATTTTTCACATATCGTCAGCATGGTTTTCGTAAATCATTCTCATGTAAAACGCCACTGGTTTGTTTCACGAACGATGCTTTCTCTGCGCTCGAAAATAATCTTTCAATCGACTACATATTTCTTGATTTTTCAAAAGCTTTTGATTTAGTCCCTCACCAACTGCCCTGCTTAAAATTTAAAAAAAAAAACTAAACTTTGACTCCAACATTCTTGCATGGATCAAAAATTTCCTCTCTAACAGAACACGGTTTGTATCTGCAAACGACTCAGACTCTCTTCCCTGCCCTGTTAGTTAGGGTGTGCCACAAGGTTCCGTCCTCGGCCCCCTTCTTTTCCTCATATAGATAAATGACCTCGTTAACCATGCCCAGTCATCCATAAGCTTGTTTGCAGATGATTTTGTCATTTATCGTGTAATCTATTCTGATACTGATACGTCTTTTCTTCAGACTGACCTTAATTCCATTACTAACTGGTGTGACGTCTGGAAAATGCAACTTAATGCCAGTAAATGTAAAGTAATGAGAATTTCACGGAAAGCTGCCTGTACCAACTTTCCTCAATACAACTTGGGTCTGCTCTTGAACAGGTGACATCATACAAGTACCTAGGTGTCCATATAACATCTGATCTCTCCTGGCAAACTCCCATTAAGTTTATTGCCAGCAACGCTAATCGCATGCTAGGTTACTTACGCCGCAACTTCTCAGGGGCTCCTTCATCATAAAAGCTACTACTGTACAAGACCCTCGTTAGATCCAAGCTTGAGTATGCGAGTTCAGTGTGGGACCCAGGCCATGAATTTGTAATTAATCAAATTGATTCCGTACAAAATCGTGGCGCACGTTTTATTTTGTCTAATTTCTCACGTTTTTTCAGTGTATCATCCATGAAACTAACTTTACATCTTCCAAATCTTTCATTGCGTAGAAAATTATCTCGTTTGTTCTTATTTCACAAAATTTATCATAACAACCAGCATCTAAGTGAAGAGCTTTTTTCTGAACCATCGTATGTATCCCATCGAAATGATCATCACCATAAAGTCAACGTTCCTTTCAGTCGCACGAAGCTCTTTTTTTATTCTTTTATCCCAAGAACTACTAATGACTGGAACCACCTGCCCACCACCATCGCCACAATCACAGACGCTCCTGCATTCAAGTCTGCCATTGAAAACTATTATGTTGACTAATATGTGTTGAATTCTATTTTTTCTACTTTTGTTTTCCCCCCACTCCCTTCTGTAATGCCCTGTGGCTTTGAAAGTATTGAAATAAATAAAATAAATAAATAATGTAACCAAGGTCCACTTCTACGCAAAGTTATTAAACAAGAGGCTTCTTTGTCGCGGCGTAATCTCAAGGACAAAATAGGACTTTTTCTTTCAGTCTGTACTCCGCAGAAGTTGATGACATAATCAGGGGCATCTCAATGTTCCTGTAGTCACGGGGAGTGAGTGAGTGTGTGTTGCAGAAAAAGAAAATCAATGTAATTTACAGCTGTGCTTTATATGTGCACGCTTGTCCCGCCTGTTTGAGAGAAGTTACGGGTAGTCGCTCACAAAGACAATAATCATAGGTAGCCCACCGGCTGGACAAAGCACCCCGCAAGAACGCGGTCTCGGCTCGTGAAATTCAACGCACCGACGAAAGTCCGGATAGTGGCTCGCGTCCAGTCGCTAAACTCAGTGGAAAAGCCTAACTCTAAGAATGTCTGAAAGTTTGTAAGTGCCATGGGCTCTCCATAGCCCTAGCTCTTGGCTACGACGAACATGGGCGGCATGTATTGGCACCAAATAACGTGTTCGTCTCATCTGGTTTCGAATAAAAGAGGAGAGCACTGCTTACTTTCCTTTAATTTTAGTCTAGGGCAACTAGCCCATGGAGAAAAGAAGTAACGCATGATCCATGGAACTTAGACGTCAAGGATTAGCTCCAGAAGAAAATTAAATAGGTCATCAAATTGTTATATTGCCGCACATGGTGAGTTAGAGTGTGGAAGAGATAGTAATAGTATGGACACTAAGACATTCACAAATAAAGAGAGGATCATGAATTTACATGAAATGTTATCAATAAATATTGATGGAAATGGCTTTAACTGGAAAAGAGGGTTTGATTAAGTATGTAGATAAACTATCATTTTGTTTCTATTTTCGGTATGATAGTATTATCACATTCGAGCACGTTTTTTTATTGAAACTTATGCATTAAGATAAACTATTGTCGCTAGTTTTAATCGCTTAACAAACAATCACAATTGCGCAAGTATTTTTATTAACTCATACTGCATAATGTTTAAAAGGAAGGTAAAATATGAATCAAGATCATGCTCTGAATAAAATAACCGGCTAACATAAAAAAATGATCAAAAATATTTTTAAATTGTATTATGTTTTTGGTCAGCACCCCGGTAACCAATCTGGTTGACATAGTACCTACGAACCCGAAACCAAAACGTCAGTCTAGATGAAACAAAACAGTCAGTGGGACAGACCAATTTATCAAGTGCCCATTAGACCATGGCGGGTTCTCCCCACTTCTCGGCAGCACAAGGCAATGAACATGGTACCAACAAGCATTTGGCACGTTCCTAAACCCCATGCGCAATATATGATCTGAAAGCCAAGAAAATACGGTATCAAAGGCAAGCAAAATTTAGAAAGCTTTTTTTTGAATTCCAAACAAACTCTTACCGAACGTTAACGACTTGTACTATTAACATCACAGCAACACGTTCTCTCTTACAACGATAGTGTGCAATCTGACTAACCGATGTACTAAGCATCCAGAAATGTAAATCACGCACCGCTTTTCCGGCGAGTGCCTACTCTAGAAAAAATCTGGTCGTAAAAAGACTCCTAGGGGTTCTTCGGCTCGTTTATTGCACCATAAAAAGTTCTCTTAAGCAGCCTCTAAAAATCTTCTCCGTAAAAATACTTATGGGAATTATTTTAGGCTCCTTTTGTTTTTGTTTTTTTTGTTTTTGTTTTTGTTTTCGCGAAAGAGTTTTTTATAGCCTAGTTGCTGTTCAGTGCGGCAGGGTGCGATAGTGCTTGACGCTAAACCGTTATTTACGAGTTAAAAGAGTTCTTGAAGCGCCAATGAACATACTGAGAACAATTTTTTTTTAGATTCGAGGTAAAAGAGCTTAAAATATTGCTAAAACATGGGCAGGCAAGTTAGTTCTGGTCCATAATAGGCAAGTTTAGGCAAATGCGCGTAAACGGAGCCGTAACTGGCCCTCACTTTGTTTCTTTTTTATATATACATATAACTTCCTTAATAGGGTCACAAGAAAAACCCTTAAGCTTCCAAATACCACCGTGCTATTCCTATTACCACTGGCAAAAATTTTGCAAGGGTAAGTAATCGCGAGTTTAGATTCCACGGCATCTCAATGAGATACAAGATCTGCAAAGGCAGTTCAACTTGAAACACGCATATATCGTCAATAAACCGATAACTCTTTGTTTTCCGCCGTTGCACTCTTTTTTTTTTTTTTTTAGAACTAATTCCTAACATAAGCTACCCATTGTGCAGTAACTTAGCTGATACTCAACTAAAGTGCGACCAACTCTATAATCCACTCCCAGTTCAATCTTAAGAATGCCACGGTGACATGTATCCCGGGAGCAAAGTTTTACTGGTACGCTTTCGTCGACGAGATCGATTGATTCGGATTCGTGAATAATTGGCCCTCTGCACTGAAGTGTGAAAATAAAAACTGTATTGCGCTCGTTCGTCTTAATATTATTAAATTTACGTTGAAGAGTTCTGCTTTCCTCGGTAAAGGTTTGTAAAAGTACAACCCGCGCACAAACTGGAAGTTATCATTTAATTTCTGACGCAGCTTTTTTGTAGTTAAAAAAATGTTACGGCATTTTAAATGAAACTTTCGCGTAAGTTGTTTTCGTCTAGTAAGTTGGGGGTTAATTTATTGTAAACCTTCCTAATTAATTTTATTTCAAAATATTTATTTTTTTTGGTTTCAGGTACTTTGTAGCCTTCATACTTCAATTCCAGTTCCACGAATATTTGTGCAACCTGACGTGCGCCGGCACACCTCTGCACGAGTGCAACCTGTACGGCCAGAAAATGGCGGGCCAAATCTTGAGGTAGGCTCGTTCTAGCATTATTTATTCTATATTGTTTTACACGCCTCAGTAGAAAAATAACATGGTATGTTTAGAAGGAGCATGAAATAATTAGAGACCGAGGCGATCTGATGACTGTTGGGACTCTAATGGCCGACCTCGAAACGTCCCATTAAAATTTATTTAAAAGGTTTCTGCCCTGTGTAGGATTAAGACTGTTCCGGCTTCAACTTTTGGACAATAATTTTTCCACCATCTATTAACTAACCATTATGTTGAAGGGAAAGTTAAATGTATTTGTTGCAACGCTTTGTTATATTGTAATATTGCGCGGACCATGTTTAACTACATCTTAAAAGTATAAAGAAGAAAAGTTTGAATGCTCGTCCAGGTATTTAGTTTGATTATTTTATAATTTTATTACAGCCACACCTTTCAGTGAATTAGCTAAATCTATCATTATTTGACGAGACAAAAGCATTGCTTCGTAGTTCAACACATGTCTGTCTTTTCGATTTATTTTTCTAAGGAAAGGCCTCTCTCTCGGCGCCAGTCAACCTTGGCCTGAAACTCTAGAGATAATGGCCGGAACTCCAAAAATGTCCGGGTCATCAATTAAGCGCTACTTCGCTCCTCTTGAAGAATGGCTTGATGAGCAAATTGAAAACGAGACCGTCGGCTGGGATTGTGCCACAGGTACGGATATTTGTGTAGCGGCATGTAAAACTAAACGTGTGGTGTCTTGTCGGAGCTCCTGACACAAGTAGACCGAGGTACCGTTGAACGTGGTTTAATCTATGCGTGGTAGCCGGTAAACTCGGTTGGACGTGGTCTATTCAGCCGATGAACTTGGTAGGCGGCTATCGAACTGGGATATGTTAGACAATCGACTAGAGAGATAACAACGCCGCCGCAATACGGCCTGCAAGTTCGTCTGATCTTTATGCACTACGTGCGTTAGTGTATACCCTAAACCTTCCACGTGCTTTTGTCCCTCCCCCCCCCCCCCCCCCCCCCTTCGACATCAACCACTGACGACGCGCGCTTGTCTGTCTTGTCATTGCTCGCTCCCTACACGTTCTCTATTCTTACCTTCCGATTGTCCAGCTCCTTCTTGCGTTCCGACGCCCGGAACACGTATTTTTGACCAATCGCTCGCCCTATAGCTTGAGCAGCACGCGCCTGGCAGACACTACGTAACACAACTTTCATTAAATATTACACATAGAGGGTGTTTGATTTTATTCCAAACAGATAAAAGAATGGCTAAGCAATCGAGTTGCATACGTGAAGCGTTATAGCATCACAAAAGGTTTATATCATCGTTTAGCAGCACGTCCAGCCTGTTCAGCTAGACACCTTCGTTCAAGACAGTCTTCACCAGATAATTTAACGCGTGGCGTGTGTACACTTGAAATATTGTTACGAAGGACAAATGATGAGGCGGCGCATAACTGAAGAAACTAAACGTTTAATGGGTGGAACTTGTTCCCAAAACAAAAAGGAAACAGAAGATAACAGTAGGGCGTCGCGGGCTTCGATAGCGGCGTAACAGCCGGATCGAACGCTGGGGCGAGACTGACCCCGGCTTGCCACGCGGAGCCCCTTTTGTACGCACAGGGGCTTCGGGAACATTCGGCGTAGAAGGTTCGATGCGTAGAAGATTCAAACGTCGATTCAGCAAGACGGTTTCGTGTTTACCGGAGCATCATTACAGCGTCAACAAAAATCTGTAGCCGCGGCCAGGAATCGAACCCTGGCCTTCTGCGTGGAAGACAAGCGCGATAACGGTTAGGCCACGGGCGCGTTGCCCACTCGGTCAGCTGCGCTCGCGGCAATATTATGCCTGATGATCTTCCGGACCCTTTAAACCCACCGCCCTTTCGCACCTCGCTTGCCTCTCCTTCCCGACCCCACTCCCCCTCTGGTCACATGACATTCCCGTTAACCAATCAGCATCGAGCACCTCACTCCTCTCCTACCCGTCAACCAATGAATGTCGAGCCTGGTGGTCACGTTTTTATCCAAGCTTCACTTTGGGGCTTCACGAAATGCCCAATATCCAGCCAAAGAACGTTCCCTTTAAGATGCGAAAATTATATGAGTTCTGTCTTTACCATGTATATATTAAGTCCGGTGTACATTAGATGAGGAAATAATCGTCATAATATGTCAGACAACTCAAATGTGTCACCCTCCACCCCCCCCCCCCCCCCCTAAAATGAGGTGATTAACCTCATTTTAGGTTTTGGGGTCATGATTGAACTGCAGTATTGAAAGCTATTGCTATTACAGGCCCGACATATTTAGAGAATTTGCAAAAGCGTAATGGTTTTTTACATATACATCGACCACATTCGCGTATTCTTGCCCGATTTAAAAATTCCGCTTATAAAGAGCGCCACAAACCTTGCGACAATGACGTTTGGAAAAGCGACGTAGTCGTTTCAATAATGTCGCCACGATCTCGGCAGCGCGTCTTTAGTGGATGTACCGACGACGCAATGCACGTCGTGAGTAAACAAAATATGTCACTCTTCTAGGCGTTATTTGGGAAGTGCGAGAGCGCTCTTTTAGAGCATTTTTTTAATCGGGTAATACAACGCAAAAAAATGATCGATTAATGTCTAAAAATCTAGTACCTTCCTCAAATTACTTCAGTTGGGCTGGCCTCAAATAGTAACTAACTCTAATATTGCAATTTCAGCATGGCCCCTAAAATCGATGAATGAAAGTTAACTAGAAAAATTCAGTTAGTCAACTAAAGACAATTTACCCGGTCACCTAATCTCTGTCGAGTCAAGTATTGTATGCGTTACTGGAAAAAAGTAACCGATACCAATTACAATTACTTTTAATGAAAAATGTAACAGATTACTGTAATCAATTTCTACATAACAAAAGTATTTTTGAAAATTACCTGAAAGTAGTTTATTGGTTTTTACGCAAGATTCTTTAAACTTTATAACGAAATCAGAATTGTACACGCATGTTCAAAGTGGTAACATTCTGTTTCTTTTTGTCATTCACACCTATTGCTAATATAATTCTTTACTTCCTTCAGTAATAGAGATAGACATGGAAAGAAAGAAAGGCAGAGAGAGAGAGAGAGAGAGAGAATGATAAATAAACAGCCACATGCTGGACTAGTAGAAACCCCGATCTAGTAACAAAAACAAAATCGTAGAGAAGGTAACATTCCTTTGTTAGTAAGTTCTGGGAAGCACGCGCTGGTGAGCTCTTTTGAGTTGGAATGGTGAGGGGCTAGATGAGGTCACTACAGAACACAATCGTCTATGCAAGCGGCAAACCCGTACAGTAACAACCCATACACAGAAAGCGAGGCGCTCTCGACAGTTCGACGGTAACAACGTTGCTGAGCGCGTTGACATTCTAATCTTCCTGATATATTGGTATATTTATTTTTTTGGTTGTTTAAGGGTCAAAAAAGACCCCAACGTTGGTGCCACATAGATGGATGACAGACAGAGCGATGTTGGCGCAAAAAAACTCAACACAATAATTTTAACTCTTTCAGTATCAAATAATTGGTAACAAAAATTGTGATTGGATCACAGCGAACTTTACCGCAGAAAAACGTAATTGAAGCGTAAATTTTAGAATAAAACGTGATTGATTAGAAGTAATCAGTTACTTGTAACTCGTTACGTATAAGTCTGGCGGAGCCTGGTAAATACATGATGACGACGGCACTCTGGTAACTCCCACTGCTTTGTAAGAAATATCTTCAAATTAAAATAAAACGTCCTATGTATACCGTATTAAAGGGCAACTTCGGTCAATTCCAAGAAACTTGAGTTAATGGTTAATTAGATAACAAGAGGTAGTAACAAACGGTTCAACGTCATTTCTTGCCAAAAAATTGTGATAGGTGCACAGCGGGAATCGCCAGAAAAGTCAAGGGAGTTAGAAGAGTAAAAAGGTTGCAGCCCTACCAGGCAGGGGGGTGAGGAGGTGATGGATACGGCAATAGAAATGTTGACTGTGAACGAGGTGGAGGAAAAGCTTGTGGTGGTACATGCGGGGTTGAATTACCTTCTAGGTGGAAGGGGAAGGGACTAGGCCACACACATCAAGGAGGGTGTGAAACAATTGAGGGTCATAACCTCTGGGATGGTGCACATTGTAATGGGCACCGTCCCGGAGGTCAGGTGCCAAGGAGTAGGTACCAAGAGGGCAGTCCAGGTGGCCAACCGGACCATCAAGAGACTGAGCTCTAAGAATCGATAGTAGATCATGAATGTGAGCAGGAAGATATACCAGGAGAGTTCGATCCCCCCGTTCAGCCGAAACGGATGTTCCGCCTCCTCATTCGCTGAACTGATTTTGTAGATTTTAGAGATTGGCTCTTTGAGTGTTTTGCGGGTAAGTCGACGCGCAGAATTTTTTTAGAGTGTAGAGTTTTCAGGAGTACCAGGATTAATAAAAGGATCTTCGATTTTATCAAACCCGGGATTACAGATCGCGAAACGCCCGTTTTTCTGCAATTCGGCGCAGAAAGAAGACGGTGCCGTCGGACGTGCGATAGACAACCGCAAATGATCGCATCCTGCGTGCAAGGGGCCCGATCCACTGTGAACTGATCTCCGAATGTGTACGATTCACGCGCGAAAAGCGATCACTCGCGATTAGTTGTTGCCTGTCCGATGGTGCCTCTTGGTTTTTGCACCAGACCTTCGAATCACAAATAAGTTCAGAGCATTTTTCATTCCTTCTGCGAGTATTTACAGCATTTCTTGTAACATGTTAAAGAGTGCCTACCTTTGTATCTCACATCATTAGCTGATAAGAGTATGTTTCTTTTGCGAAACGCCCCCTTATTCTTAATTCAGAACGCACATACTTTGGTTTAATTTTAAAATCTTCATCTCCTTTTTTTTTAAGCTACTTATAGCTCGAAGATTGTATTTTAATGAGCATTGTTTCTGTTCGCCTCGAGATTCGATCAGCACGGCTCAGGCGTGGAAAAAAGCAGATCTACGCTTTGTTTTACACTTACTTGGAGCAAACCGAATGGTATACGGACGCGAGGCCGAAGTAAAGCCCCTGGACGTGTTTGCGTTTGAGTTGTAAGTAGAGTCAAATGCGCCAGTGCACGAGGTCCGTGTCTTAAACGGCCCTTGTAAGCGAATGGCGGTGGAGCACCCGTTCGCGGCAAGTGTCTTGCGCGTTTCCTCAACATTGGGTGACGTTACTTGTAAAAACAGTCTTTATCAAGGGACCTTAGGCCGAAGCCATGGGAGGCGCCAATACAGTGCTCCTGAAGTGGAATCAACTGCTAGAACTCGTGCTCTGTCTTCTTGGCCGTGCTCTGTGCCGTAGTCTGTATGTTTTGTCTGCACTCACATTGTGGACAGAGAGAATGACCACGCGCCTCACCTTGGATAAAACACACACACGTTCCCCCCAAATTGACTCTGGGTCTCGAGGCCAATAGGGGGTATTCACTTCCGGCTATAGCTGTGTGCACTGTGGCTAGGCGCGTGCTTACAGCGAGTGTCTGGTAGATTTACTCCTTATCGTCAAAATTCCTGTTCATGGCAGGTAACAAGTTGCTTTACCCACACCTCGTTCCGACTTCATGTGAATACTTCCTATACCGTTTTGATCACTGACCATAGTTAGCGCAATGAATAACATATGACGGGAACAACGTTGGGCAGAAAGAACAAGAAGCGAATGAGTTGACATTATTGTAATTTTTGCTGCCAGGCAGATAAAGCATTGTGCAAATGTAGCACGGAATCGTGTAAAGCTTTATATTATTTAAATCATTTTGCATTCTGAAGGCCAAAAATGACTCGACACAGAATGTGTCTTTTCTTATTAACATGCACATTCTCCTAATTACGTTTTACATATATGTTTCAGTTGATGACTACTGGAATGAGGTAAGAATGTTTTCAACTTAATGTTTGTGTTTAAAAATTTGAACGCAGCTTGTCGGTGCCCTTAATTTAATGCTCATACTGTTATCCCCATTTTCGTGCATAATCTTTTGTCAATTTTTAATATTGGTGGTAAACCCTAGCTGAACTCCTTATAAACGCTGTCATCCGAATCACCACCAAAAATAGTCTTGCGAAGACGTTTAGTTCGAAAACATATTAGTACAGGTCATTAAGCTCCGAGCTGTGAAATCATCCCAAGCGGTGCTCCGGTGTTGTGTGTATACGGCACGCAAGCTCGTCCGCTCCTTGCCCACCCCGTCTGTTTGCATGTTTACCCCCGACCTCACGCCATGACGACGCGAGCTTGGCTGTCTCGTCACCGCGCGTTTTTCATGTGTTTCTCTATGGTGCACTTTGGCTGGCGTGCCACCCTTAGCATTCCAATGCGCCAAAGACTTATTTTTAGAACACTCGCTCGCCGAGCGTGTCCGAGTCGTTCCTACTTTTGAACCTGAAGGGTGATTCGTCAGAGAGCTGTCCCTTGGCCAAGAATGTTTTTCTTCAAAAGCACTGCATTCACATTCGCCTGCGGGTCATGTGTGAGAAAAACAATTTTGTTGTCGTAATAAATATACCGTTGTTAATTGTACATATCCTACACTCTGAAAAAAGCCCAGTCACAACTCAAACTGTGTTTTTTGGTCTAAAGATATGTACCGGCATCGTTATTCGTTGAGCTGCCTCCGTAAGGTGCGGTGATTGGCTTTCCGAGTGTTGTGCGGGAAAGTAGACACACGGGCTTTTTTTGGAGTGTAGTTGCCTTTTTTGAATGTTACTTAAACATTTTTATGACGCCCTACGAACTTTTTTTTTCTCCCTTTAGCCATGTTACATGATGGAACTATTTTTTTTTTAATTATGTCAGAGTTCATTTTTAAAAGAACGCTAGAATAAACCTTCAGATCTCGCTCGCCTGCCAATGGGTTTTGGCAAAAACAGGTCCTGTATTACAACGGCGTCTTGCATTGTTGATAGTAGCGTCTATGAGCATTGCTAGATCAGTGTCCTTGAAAGACGTTAAAAAAGTGAAAGCTTTTACAACTCCCTGTAACGCCGAATTACAGCGCAATTCTTGAGGAGAAGGAGGGACGGGTATTAAGAGTAGGGGGGGAGTCATGTGACCGTGGGGATGTCACGTGACCTCGGAAGGCACGTGACCTGGGAGGTCACGTGAACCCCCAGAGAAGTTTTGCCGCTAGATTGAGCGGGGAAATTTTTCCGCCAAATCTAACGGGGAAATTTTTTCGCTAAATCTAACGGGGAAATTTTTCCGCTTTATTTAGCGCGGAAATTTTTCCGCTAGATTTAGTGGGGAAACATTTCCGCTAGATTTAGCGGGGAAATTTTTCGCTAGATCTAGCGGGGAAATGTTTCCGCTAGATCTAGCGGGGGAATTTTTCCGCTAGATCTAACGGGGAAAGTTTTCTGCTAGATTTAGCGGGGAAATATTTCCACTAGATTTGGCGGGAAAATTTTTCCGCTAGATTTAGCGGGGAAATTTTTCCGCTAGATTTAGCGGGGAAATTTTTCCGCTAAATTTAGCGGGGAAAATTTTCCGATAGACTTAGCGGGGAAGTTTTTCCGCTAAATTTAGCGGGGAAGCTTTTCCACTAAATTTAGCGGGGAAATTTACCCAAAATGCACCGCGCGAATGACGCCGACGGCGACGCTGCTCAAGCCGGAAACGGACGCCTAAGAGCTGCGCTCTAAAAAGTGAAAGCCGTTTACAACTCCCTGTAACGCCGAATTAGAGCGCAGCTCCTGAGGAGGAGGAGGAGGGTAGGGTACTGAGGGGGGGGGGGTCATGTGACCTCGGGGAAAGGGGGGGGGGTCACGTGCCGACGCCGACGGTGGCGCCACTCAAACCGGAAAGGGGCGCCTAAGAGCTGCGCTCTAAAATTAATATAAAGCGAATTGATGTTCTTAAAAAGCAATCGAAAATATGCTATCGCGGTCTCGCTTTAAGTATATCCATAGCGACGCCACCGGTCTTCAAACAACACGAATTAACGGCGCCAAAAGTGCGTCGTCAGAGAGCGCGCTGTCTTTGGAGATTGGCTCTCATTGGTACCGGCGCTTGGGCTTTCGCCTTCAAATCGTCTTAGAAATAACTTAAGAGACCATGTGAATTTGTATCTTTCTCGGCACATTTTGTGTATTTGCCTTAAGGTGTACGATATAAGCACAAAGAGAATTTTGGCATACCCTGCGACCCGGCGTTTCACATTGGCAAAAAGCGAACAAAAAATTGTTCAGCTTTTACACTCTCGTGAAGAAGGAAGACCAGCGGAGCTGTACTCGATACACTGTGTGCAATGTTACTAAAACACTCAGTTGGGAAACTGCCATAGAGACTGCTCTGAAAACGTGGCCCCGATCTGTCCTCGAGAACCGAGCTAATGGCTAACACAACGCCGCCATTTCTCCCTCAGCGGCCACTTGAGGAACTGAAACGTGACGTCTACTTTGGCTTTAATCGGCCATTTTGGCACCAAAACAGATACAGCGGAAGAGGTTACAGGGGTACCACCCCCGTCTCCCCAGCGGACGCGCCGCGACTTGCTAACGAAGTTAAAATGACCTAGGTCGGGACGCGCTACCTGAAAGCACCGCTGAAGCGTGGGTGTATAAAAACAATATTAATTGTGCCGCAAAACCCTGCAAACTAAAGATTTTAAAAACATCACGCTCCCATCATTTCGTACTAAACTCCAACAAATTTCATAAAAAAAGAGTATTTTCCGTTTGTTTTTACGCAAAAACATGCTTTGTAAAAGCTCAAGGTGACCACAGTACAGACAAATGATAAAGAGTGGCGCTGTTGTCGTATTTAGCTCGGTCTCGGTGGACGCCAGCGGCCCAAGTTCCAACGGCGAGTTTCCCAACTGAGTGTTTTAGTAAAGGGCTGTTTATACTCCGACGTTGAGCGCAGTGAACGCAGAGTAGCGCAGAACACGCGCCTTTCATTGGCCGGCGGCCAGAAGCTCGATTTCTGCAACCAATCACTATCTGTGCGCGCTGCGCTACGCCGCGCCCGTCGACGTTATGTTGACGTATAAACGTACCTTAACGTTGACTGTGTGCTTCTTCTTCGTCGTCGTCTGTTTTTCGCGCTGTTTCCTACGATGATTTCCCACCAACGCGCCCAACCATCCATTCTTCTATTATAGCTGGAAAGGTTGTCGCCATCCCCGAGCGACGGCGGAAACCATACTGGCTGTGTGCTTGCCGCCGTCGTCTATAGATGGCGGTAGCTGTCCAGGTGGGTTTCTGTCGACATACACGGACACAATCCTGGGGAACCTAGCCCTTAACAGCTCCGCTGTAAAAATCAATGACCTTTCCGCAGATTGGCTCAACAGCAGGCGTATTTTCAAGTATCGTCCTCCCGTGTCGGTCTCAAGCGGTTATGTGTACTTCATTCAGTCAAGTTTATAGATGGTAATAACGATATATAAAGGCCGGTTCAATCATACAGCGGAGCGCTAAGTTAGTGCCTCATGTACGCTGGAAGCAGCGCTCATGTGGCACCGACTTGCACGTGACGTAGCGCTAGGTTAGCACTTCAGCAATGCTTCAGCAGCGCTCGGTTAGTGCTTTAGCAGCGCAGTGTGAGCACTCTCACACTCGTTGTGCCGAGCTTGCTGGTGCGGAACAGCACGTGCACGGCGATTTCGTTGTTGCTGTTCTTCCTTTGGTGAACGTGAAAGAAGAGAAAGTAAAAGAGCCGCTCTCCAAGCAAACGGTCGGACAGACGATCCAGAGTCATGGACTTTGAGCGGCTAATTGATTGGGCACGACCTCATCGCTTTCACCATCATCATCGTAAACCTTAATATTCGAAAAGCGAAAGGTCCTTGCGGTCTCTGGTCGGTGCCCTTAGTCCATGGCTCCGTTGGCCGCCCAGATTCCGCGGGTCCGCCTCCCAGGAGGAAAAGGTGGGGGAAGGAGTGGGGGTGATACCCTCACCGGGGGGGAGGGGGGGGGGGGGGGGCAGGGGGGGGCGGCATTCCCAGAAGGAGTGGTACAGGTTGGGTTGATCGCTGCCACATCCCGTACAGGTGCCGGGGTTTGCGGTTGGGGAACCAGCGATGTCGCTGGTGGTGGTTAGGGAACGTAAACGTTTAAAGTTGTCGCCAGACCGCTGCCTCCGCCCCGGGATAGCTCCCGATGCGGAGGGGGCAGGACCCGGTGGGTTGTTCGGTAGCATTCCGTTACCAGGTGTTAGGTGTTAAGGTGTGTGTTGGTTGAAGTGCGGAGAGACTGGGAGTCCGCTAATGCGTTTGGCTCTGGGTCCCGCTGTATCTTGATCCCATTCGACAAAGCCCGGTTCGTCGCTCCGCTCCGGCAATGAAAGTGTGTGAGCACTTTCATTGCCGGATAAGCTCAGATGTGCAGGAGCCCAGATGACCCGGATGACCGGCATTTGAAACCAGTCAGTGCTTATGGCGTTGATGATGTATGCTGTCCGTGGTTAGAGGGTGTTTCCCGAAAACGCTCTGCACGCTGCTACTGGGCACCTTGCTTGAACTTGACAGCTTTTGCACTCCGTTTTTCGCAGTGTAGGCCTTGCTTTTTCTCTGCCGGTCCTCGACTCTCTTCCGAAGAGATTTCACCTCGGCCTCTGGTTGTTGAAAAAAGTCCTTGGGTGGCAACCGTACTATATCTAACCTTGTCTTGGCTGCCGACCATGTAGCAGAACGGCAGGGAAGACTCCGATCGTACCGTGTGTGGTGCATCTCTAAACTCCCAGATAGTCGGTAACCGCAGACTGCAGAAGGCGGCTCTCGAGGATGGCAAGCTGGATGAAGTCCTTTAAGACCCGACTGAACATTTTAATCAATCCATTCGCTTGCGAATAGTATACCGAAGACAGGCAGTGCCGGATTCCCCCCTCTTGAAGAAAATCCTTGATCTTCTTAGATTGAAATTGCGTCCCA